TCGCCATTTTTAAGGGCATTTTGGTGCCTTTTTTGTTTTTATGCTGATGTAAATTTGCCACTTATTTATCAGAAAAAGTGTTACGTCATTTCAGGCAGAATTTCAGTACAAACATTTGCCAGAATTTTAACATTTTGCTGTGTTGTCATTTTATTGGTGATTTGTTGTTGTTTCAGTACATGACAGTAGGCCAGTGAGCAAAGTTTTCTCACAAAACTTTTTTTTTTAAAGCAAATTTTGGGTTCACAATTTGAACAAAAACCCCTCACCTGAACAGTGCCCTCATTTGTGCAGAAAAGGTTAGTAATACTATGGTTTCGAGGATGGACAAACAGCAAGCAAACTTAATAAACAGCTATTGAGTGACTTCATACGACTTGATTTGACTTAATCATGTCATTCAATTGTATTTTCTTGACTTTTTGCAGCAAACCTACTACTTTTGCCACCATCTCTTCTGAGAGTTCCCAGAAGCTCTTCTTTGCTTTGCCTGGTATGTCACCATCACCAGGCCCTGAACATGTACTGTCTGATGAACACTATCTACTCCATATATTTTTAACAATATACCTTCATAAGCATGTGTATACTGTGGTCAAATTGGTTGAAGACATTTCCCCAAAACAGGAGAATAATTTAACCTGATAACCCTCCACTGAGATCCTTCACATAGATGACTTCCGCTAGGTTTTTTTTTGAGGAATTTGTAGTAATGGAGGGAGGTAGCTAGATCCTAGCCATTTTTGTTTTACACGGGGCTTGGTGGTCATTGATGTTTAAAGCACAAAGACCATTGTGCCATTTGTCTCCTGCAAAATTGAGGAATTTTGGAGGATTTAAGGTTCTTGAATGTAAAAGAACCAAGGGAGTTTTGGATTCTGTGCACAAGTGCCGTCTCAGTGGCTACAAAGGGATAGTTAGGTCAATCCACTGGAGGGACTCTTGAGCAAACACCCATTGCATGTGACGCCTACCCAGGTTTGTGGACAATCAGAAAAATATAAAGTGCATACTTTGCGCCAGAAGTTCACGAACCAGTGTGTACAAGCATTACATTCACTTTGTGGACTTCCGAATAAAAGAGGTCCACATAAACTAGGTAGCAGCGACGTTGTGTGGACTTGGCCACGTCCACACAGTGCTTCCCCCTCTCTGGAAAACAGGTTGAGAGGCATTTTGGAATAAGTTTATCTGCAGCAAAATGAAGAGAAACACTAAAGGGAACCATAGAAAAATATCGGGTTGAAACCATTTTCAAAGTGCGAGTAAAATGAGTTTTTTAACAGATTTTTCTTAACTACACGAAAACAAAGGAATGTCCACACTACCTATGTAACGTAAACATGTGTACGCAAGCGGTGTGTCGCTCCTACTGGGGCTTTTGTAAGTGGTGACAAAGCGCCCTCTAAGTTCATTCACAGAGTCTATATCGATAAGTGACATTATTTTTGTAATTTGTTACACACAGGGAATCCAGCATCTGCCATTGTGACCTTCCATCTCTTTGTACTTCCCGCCTTGCGCAAAATGATGGGATATGCGCAACCAAACTTGACAAAGATCAAAGCCAAGGTAAAAGACCAATTCACAAAAAAAACGTTTACAGTTCTTACTTTCTGCCCTCAAATTTGAAAATCCGTGTCCGACAAACTTTTTTGGCAATTTGTTGAGGATGCTGCTGGATACATCACTAATTCTAAAATGCATTTGTCCATAATTCATTGCTTAAAGCTGAAACTTATTAAATAACATTTACTGTGGCCAGTACTTCGAAATGATTTTGTTTATTTGAAATTTTTGAGTGCGAGAGAAAGGCTAGGTATTGTTCAACTTTGCTATGAGTGGGAATAAGCCATTTGCGAGTTAAATTTGAACAAAATCTGGAACGCTGACTTAATCCAATGCTTTGCACATGTTAACTTTGCTTTCTCCTGACCAAAGAGACCATTACTATATCACGTGATTCGGGGCAAGCCTTATGCTAGCAACCCCCAGCTCTGGCATGGTCTGGTGTCTTTGCACCGTTCTCACCCATTGTGAACAATGCATTGGTGCTGATCTCTTACGTAACTATGCAAGAGCTTGTCCCGAATCATGTGATTAGCAACACTGTCTTTGGTCTGGAGAATTCAAAGTTAAAATGTGCCAAGCACTCTGAGCAAGTCAGTGTACCAGATGTTTTTCAAATCTAAATCCAATAGGGTAAAGGTTACTCGCAAATGGATTATTGTCTTGCTGTTACCACTTGTATTTCAGGGCTCTTTATTACTCATGCCAAAAGGTCAATAGTTGTTGAATCCAAATTTTCTTTTGCCCGTGTTTCCAGGTTGCATCGGACATCAAACTTGACCCACGACCTGAATTTCAAAGGGTCAAGCTGGTCTGGGGAAGCAGTGACCTTGTTCCCATGGCAACCATCACCGGGAGCCAGATGAGCAGTAGGTTACTGAGCATGTCGGATGCCAATGCTCTCCTCGTGTTGCCCCCTCAAACAGATGGAGTAAAGGAGTTGAAGAAGGGCAGTGTTGTTGATGCGCTGATTATAGGAAGAATCTAGATCACATAGATTAGCAGGATGTCAGTATAATACATGTGTTTAAAATGTCCACCATGGTTGATTGGTTGTAGATGCCTGCTTTCAGACCTCATCCTGCTTATATTGATTTGAAAATGTTTATTATCAAATGATTGTACATTAACTTATTGTATATAAGCTTTAAACAAAAACCGCACAAATATGTACACATCAAATTAATGAGCACATTGATACCAATCTGTAGAAGAGCGAGACCTATCCCTTTGAAATGGAGGCTAGTATTACATGCAGGAACATTACTAAATCAGTGTGAGACCCAATTCAAGAATTATGCTCAGAAATCAACATAGTTACATTCATAGAATTGATCTTTTAGAAATAATGCTAGACTATGTGGTAATTATTGTTGTTATTATTAGCTAACCCTCCTATGGAAACATGCATTCTGAGCCTTGCTGTTACTTGGGTCAATATTGGCCAAGTGACCATTGGTGCGTTAAAAGTATATGAGGGGAAGTGGAAGGAAACTTTGACCGTTTGTGACCTTTTAAACAGCAGGAGGGTTCTAAATTAGTCATTTCTGGTACTGAAACCAAGGATTCATGAAAAGTGCCCTGGGCTAGGTACTGTAGCTGGCAAGCCTGAAGAAACCTTTAGAGAGAAGACGAAGAGAAGAAATTACAGTTTTAGAGGCGGGAGGAAAAGCCCAGAAGAATATTCTGGGGGAAAACCCACGGAAGAACATTCTGGAGAAAACCCATGGAATCAGGCAGGGACTGAAACCCAATCCACATGTTGGCCCAGGCGGGATTCGAATCCCGGCCACAGCATTGGAAGGCAAGAACAGTACTGCTACGACATGAGTTGCCTCGTGTATATCCGTATAAAGGTTATTCCATAGATGAACAAGGCAGTGTTCAAGACTATAATTACAGAAGCTCATAAGCAAGAAGTTCTTATTATGTCTCACATCTTATGACCATACATGTATATCAATAAATTTGCATTATGACGTGGGTGGCCATTTTGGGTATGCTCTTTTTGTGATCACTTACAAATCTGTAGGGTGAAAGAAATTAAAAACCGAGTCGCAAACTAGTCATCCACATTCCTCTTCTGATTTCATTACCACCCAATCCCCCACCCCCCCCCCCCTTTCGCCAGAGATTCTGGCTTCGCTTGTTTTACGTACATGCAGTTGCAATGGCGACATTAAGAACATGCAGGCATGCCATAGATAAAGGGCAGGGTTGTGAATTTTTGAGGGAAATTTGGGGGTAAAATGACGATGACAACGACAAAACTGTTCTGGCTAGCATCAGACAGACCAATCACAGGGACTTTAATTGGTCGCCGTGAAAACTCTCAAAAGAGACACGATGTGATTGGCCCATTGAAGTGACCAATCCAGGTGACCAATCGAAGCGCCCTGTGATTGGTCTGTCTGATGCTAGCCATGAGCTACTCTGGTTCCCTGTTCCCATATTGTCCTTCTGACTCCAATATTTTTTTATGGGCCCAGGTAATAGTCTAGCCAGGAGCCATGCACAAATCGATTTTTCCTGAATTCAAAATGGTAGCCTCAAACATGGCGAGTGCGACGAGAATGTTTCCCGAATTGAAGGTGAAATTTCTCTTTTATTCTCAAAGGTATGTGAACCTAACCACCACCATTTGTATTCCCAATTCCCACTGAAGCATATAAAGTCACATCAGGCAGTTTGAGGACTGTTTGGGGTGAAATCTTAGGATTTTGTTTGGGGGTACGAGTAAAAAGGGTCCAACAAAATTATTGGTAAACGCGATACGGCTATAGTATGATCCTCTGACTCTACAATCGCCCGACCATGTCCAAATGTTAAAAGGGGCGATTCGTAGAGTCGGACTAGCGCCGATCTACATGATGTACTGTGAACGCGCAAAGCTCGCTGAATCGCGCGAATGCAGTTCCTTTCAGCAAGCTCCGATATATTCAAATTTGCCCTAAATATGTGGCCGCCGCGGGGGTGCAGGAACCACTCTGCGAGAACCGAGTTATTTTCGGGCCACAAATGGTTCGAAATGTAAACTTATATGCCACAACTAACTTGACGTGGATCGATTTTCCCGCTCAATATCTCACAAAGTGAATATAATGTATTTCGAATTGCTTTTACTTTGGGGGGGGGGGGGGGGGCGAAGGGGAATTGAAAATAATGAAAACCAAGCATGCGCCAGTGAGTCAAGGTGTTCACCCCCTCCCCCCTCTCCCCTCTGCAAAACCCCTGCATACGGTGCTGGGCAGGATTGGTTGTGGGAGGCATGGGCCCAAGAAATGTGGGAGGACGCATGTAATAAGACGAAGGCCTGGTAGTCGGGTTGATAATATATTAGATCCCATTTGTCACCCTCAAATCTAACTAATAGTATTTGGTGACCCCGGACTATATCTCACACCAAAATAATCAAAACTTTGGAACTTCAGTTTACCAGAAACTTATTTACAATTTATTTACAAACGATCTTGATGTCGAGAATAAAGTCTTACAGTACTTCTTTACCCTATCTTGGGTTTTGACAATTCTTTAAATAGTATCCAATTGCTTTTGTACAATGATTTGCTTCCGTTAATTTCTTGATAAACACAATACAATAATTACCAATCAAAATCACTGACCAATATGTCTTCTTCTACTTCTTTTCGATTTGAATTACAATTTTGTATATTAATTCCCCAAACAGTTCTTATTTACGAAGGGGTTCAATGGAACTCCTCTGAGTTACTTGTAACTCGCCGTTCAGCGACCCGACGGTTGATCTGGTGCTCACTGCTACTGCTAGGCTCAATGGTCCTCTGTCAGTGGAAATCCCTCAGATCATGCAAAGCGGGTCAAGCAAAAGTCTGGTCGAAGGGGTCGGCCATCTATAACAGGAAATATTATCCAAAACCCATGCAATATTTTGTGGCTTTCATAAGTCTCTTAAAACCTTTATGATTCCTTTAAACACAACATGTTTCCACTCAATAATAAACTCATCTTTAAACCATACTCATTCTTCATCATAATTCTTGGCTTGCTTTTAACACCGAATTTCCACAAGTTCATCTGTAGTTCACAATCAATCATTTCAATTGGCTTACGCATGTTTCCATTTTATCAACATCTAATATTTCCTTGTCACTAAATTCAACAATTTGTCCCCAGTTAAATTCGACTTAAACTTTGGATCTCTCTGAACTCTTAATTCTCTATAAACATATTTTAATTATGTAACACTTACGGTTATTGTTGGTTGCATAAACTTGAGCGGAGAGTCTGCGCCCATAGGTTGAATGTTGCTACAGTACACCGACAATTCTGACCTGACGACTGGGTAGGTGATGGATTTTGGCACTGAATTTTGCCAAACTGGACGAAGGGTTCGATCCTAACTGAAATTTTAGGAATCGACCACGGGCCTGTCTCATACCAGGCCGTACCCCTAGGTCTTAAGCTGTCGGTCGGTTCACTCTCACACTGTCAAGCTCACTCTATCACAGCTCAAACAACACTAACTGATTACTCCATCACACGGACACATACAGACAAGTACCTAACCAGGACAATAACAAAGGATGGACGAACACGACAATAACCATGGCCGGTTTTACGTAACATTACATAACACGAGCACTGCATTTCGCGAATGCGGGTCAGCACCGTATAAATTATAGTATTGTTCAACACCCTTTCGTGCGCAGGACTTGGGAGAGTGCTGATTGGCTACAAGTTATCCACATATGTACATGCGTAGAGGCGCGTAGCAGGATTGATCGTGACACCATTTTTGACGAGATCGTGACCGACTGGTCCAAAGCACCAAACTTGGCAGATAGATTCTTGTAACCCTAAAGAAGATATTTAGAAGAGGTGATACCTGATATGGGAAGGGCACCTATAATTTACATAAATCCTAAAAAGCTGCCACGTAATATATTTATTCACATATTTTGGTACATTTTCCAATTTTCTTTTATAATTTCTTTTAAGTATCATTTGGGATTACCCTTACTGATTTAACCAAACGTCTATTTGCATCGACTTGAATCACAGCCAATACTTTTTTGTTTGGTGTAACTCCAGAACGTCATAATGCATAATGTGACACGGGTACACAATGAATTATGAAATCAAATCAATATATATTTAATTCAAACTTTCATCACTTGACACTTTAAATTTAATAGCATACAAAAATCAATTGCTATTTTCCCTAACAATAGGCCTACATTATTTTGAATGAGACATCGAACCAAAAAAAGTCTATACGCCTAGTTATTGAATACAATGTAAATGCTTTACAAAATAATGTTCTAATTATTTGCGGTCCGGCAAAGCAATGATTTAGTTCAGGCTGTTCCCGCCCACATCAGAATCGACAATGGAGGGATCGGGAACCAGTCTACTCGCATGACGGATCTGTTTGTGCACGAAATTAAAGCCTTTTTCCCCGGAGGATTGCAGATTTCTATCAAAAAATAAGGAAGAGTAGGCACTTTTCTTAAAGCATTCCTCCTTCAAAATTCGTTTGGAGAGAAACTTCGAATTAGTTGGAGAGCACGGGCAATCCATGAAACACAAACGTATAGTGTGTGGTAACACTTTTTACGGGAGCTACAATCCCGGCCTAAGCTCGCTGGGCCACCTTCCCCCGGCCACCGGTCAATGTTGTCTCTCATTGCGCGGACTGTGCTCCAGCTGGAGATAACAACATTGACCGGGGGAGAAGGGAAGTGGGGGACCGGGGAGGGTATGCTTGTTGTCACGTGTCGGCCCAAACCATTTTGTGGGAGCTAGGCCCCTACAATGGGGCAGGCCGTGAGCCCGGTTGCGGGCCTATGCGTATGATCCTGTAAAATAAGAAGTAATTATACCTGAGTACTCGTAAATGAAAGCGTATATCACTTTCAACATAATCTACCTATTGTTTTCCTAACACAAACTTTGAGCTGTCCTCTCTTTTAAACTGTATATAAATCTATATGTATTTACATAAGGTGTCTTCAAGAGTATTATTATTTACACTAATATATATATAAGTTTTGTGACATGACACATCTAAAAGGCTGAAAATTACAATAGAAAACAGTCGAATAAAAAAGCTATTGGTAAAATTGATTGACTTTGCTAAAGTTATTTTATTAAAAAGCATGCATGGTACTAAAATAAATGTACAATAAAAAATTTTTTTTTAATGACTAACTTATACTAAAAATACACGATCTCTACAGTCGCCTTTGGCAAAACTTTAAACGTTACACAAAGCTTGTACAGACTAGAAGTATCCGGCTCAATCTCATGCTGCCTTCAGTCACAAAATGTGACATTTTGAACATCTCCAAAATATCTGTTGTTATTCCGAAACGCAGACACCGAAATGTAGGCCTTCTGTGCACCGTTGCCCTTCTTGAATAAACCTCTTAGGTTCTTGTAGATGAGAATCCCGAGTGCTGATTGGTCGTAGCGATGTTCGTGAAACCCAGCCACGGGTCTCCGGTGAGGGTTTTGGCTTCCCTTGGGCGCGATGCAGTCCAGCGCCAGGGCGCAGGCCACCCAGGGCTGGATCAGCTTCTCGGTGATGTACGAGCTGTTCACGAAAAAGATGCGACTTGCCTGCACCGTTGGCGTGCTTCTCAAGTTCTTGTACTCGTTGTCCAGGTCCACCCCGAGATATCTGTACATGTCGGGATGGGTCTTATTGTAGTTTGAAAACCTGTTCGGTTCGTACGTGAGGACCATGGGCACAAAACCGTGGAAATCTTTCAGGTAGCGGTATAAGGGTAGGATGCTCTTCTTGAAGCGAATCGACGAGTCCGCCCAGAAAATGGCTCCGAATTCGTACAGCGCTTCCTGCATGCATGGGGAATAAAACATGCACGAAAAAGATCAGCACTTGTCTTCCAGAGAGCATAAGCATGGGCGTCAATCGGTGGGGGACGGGGGGACAAGTCCCCCCCCCCCCCGGGGGGGGGTGGGACATCATATCGTTTCTCTCCCCCCCCCCCACACACACTTGGTTTTGTCCCCGAATAAAAATTGTAGCCTACATAATGATTCTATAGCTCAGAATAGCTAATTCAATGACTCCAAACTCAAAAAAATGATTGTTTAAAAGATGATCTTTTGCTTAAAAAAAAGTAGTTTATTAAAGTGGTCAGAAATTGCGTCAGATCGCACCACAGAGCATCTAGAATCCATTTTCCGGGGCCCTTGAGCGGGCCCCGGACCCCACGCCGTTAGGGCTTCGAGCTCGCATTACTGCTGGCCAAGGTATGTCTCTCCCCCCCCCCCCCCCCCCACCCCTGACGCCCTTGAGCACAAGTACAGAATAAACTAGGGGCCATGTTTGGCTAAAGTCGGAAGAGGATTTTGCTGTCAAGACGAGACTGCCAAGAGAAGGGTTTAGCTGGTATATGTGCTATTTTGTTCTGATGCGCCCCCCTTTTTGCCCCAGGTGTGGGGATTAAACACTCTTAGGACCACCCCGCAGATCCCTCACTGATAAGAGTCCAACAAGGACGCAAACAGAGGCTTTTAATCGACCGCTTTTACGTTGGCTAATCTCTAACAAACTAGACTTCAGTAAAGTGGGGGATCCAGGATTTTCCAAGATTGAAAGATTTTTCAAGGGGGAGAGAGTGGATGACGCGTTGCAAATAAAAAGACCAAAGGCCTCAAGCAGTGAATCACGATTTGATATCTTGCAGGAGTTTTCACGTCATTAAAGGAACCTATATAGGAATGATTGGATTATTCATAAGATGAATTGCGTCGGGGTGATGTAAATCAATATTAGGTTTTGCCCTTCACGCATTAACACTGTATACTCAGCGAGTTACCTCCTGAGTGAAAGTTCGAAAAAAATCACTCGGTAGGACTCGAACCCACGACCTCCTGCTTTCTAGTCAGAAAGCAACCAATCCCACCTATATAGTTTTCAAAGGGCAAATCTGCGAAGGCCCTACAGCCAAATATCTTGACATACTCTGTGTGCCAAATTCCATGCTTGTATCATCAAAGGCACAATCCCATCACCTACCTACCGTACTAGCAGGTCGGTTTCAACTGAAATGTTTTCGATGAAAATGAGACTATGCTATGGACGTACCCTGATGATAAGCGGTTTCCATGCATAGTTCAGCTTATTTCTCACATGCCGTGGATACTGGGCGAAGTTGAAGAATCGAACCTCCTCGACATTGCACATTCTCGAAATCTAGAAAAAAAAAATGAATACCAATTACATACAGGGGAGGAATGGCTGAAAGACAGCAGGGAAATGACACGTCTTATAGCCTGTATTCAGTATCTTCATTAAAAATGACCCCATCCAGGCGCGGTTCTGGGGGGGGGGGGCTTTCCCCCAAAATGTCTGTTTATCCCCCTCCCCCCCCCCACACACACATTGAAATAGCAGGTGCGAATGCTAGAAGGTGACGTCACATGCGAACGTCCCCCCCCCCCAATAAATATTTGCTTTAGCCGACCAGGCGCGGATCCTGAGGGGGTGGTTGTTGTGTTCCCCCCCCCCGGCCCTGTTGAAAAATGTTGAAAATTGTATTCATAATAATAACGTACATATCCGCATAGCCATTCGTTAGAAGGGGGATTTGTACACTATTAGGTAATATATACAGGCCCGGATTACCCAATAGGCACAGTAGGCACAGTGCCTAGGGCCTACGAAAAATTCGGGGGCCTACGAAAATACCGCAGTGTGCCATAAAACACATATAGGCCCACCCACACACACACCCACACGCAGAGAAAAGTTTTTAAAAAGTCTTTAAAAAGTTTGAGGGTCTCTCTCAGAATTTTCGATTTCACCAACTGACGCTGTACGGCATGCATAATTATGCCCTACGTGTGCAATTTAGGTGTATACGTGTAGTCTGTCGTTCAGAAGCACGGTGCATGCATGGGCGTCGATCGGTGGGGGACGCCGGGACGTGTCGTAACCCCCCCTCCCCATCCCAACTATTTCTGTCCCCGAATTAAAAAAATGTAGCCCACATTTGATTCTATAGCTCAGAATAGCTGAATCAATGACTCCAAACTCGAAAACGATGTTTAAATGATGAATTTTTTTTTTTGCTTTATAAAAAAAAATGGTTGAAGAGGTCAGAAATTGCCTCAGATTTTCGGGGCACTCCATTCACACTGCATTCTAATTGACCAAGCACACGTTCAGTCCTGATTTGGGAATGAAATGACGTCACGATTTAGTAAAGTCGACTCCGATTGGCTGAGGCGCGAGATCCCATAAATCTGCATGCTTTGACATATCAGACTTTATACAGGAGATTTAATGGCTCCGTGGATAACGGGTGATACTCAGACTTCCCCACCCCCTTCCCACCTACTGATTATTAAGTGTCCGAAGAATATAGGAGGCTAAGTGTCCGAGGAAAAAACAAACAAACCGGTATACATTTCAGCACGCCTCCCTGCAAAAAATTATGGATCCACCCCTGCTAGCCCCCCCCCCACCCCTAAAATAAAGGCTCTAGAACCGCGCCCTGACCAATGCCAAGGACCTTCAGCTGATCGCAGAGAGGCTGCAGCCTCATCCACTCTGTCAAGATTTCTGCTGAAGACGATCAGAGCATACTGATGAATCGAAACGTCGAGTTTCACGAACCAACCGGTTCTTTTCAGAACCACACATCTTCTCAAAAGAGATCTTTCCTATATGGGTGTGTATACCTCAAATCCTCTATAATTCCTGTTTTCTTTCCAGGGATTTAAAAAAAAGATTATCTGGTTGCTTTGTATTATAACCTGCTGAACAATGCACGACCCTGCAGGCTCGAGGTGACATAATTATTCCCTTTGGTTGAAAACCTTGTAAGTTTTCCTTTTTGCAGAGATTTGATCACTTGTTATTGTGGCGGTTAAGACCAAACGGCTTTCATTTAACCATGCAGGGGTTCGGTTTTTATTATCTTTTCATTGGGATTCGACCTGTGAACATTCAGATTTGTCAGTTAAAAGGCTTGGGGATTGGGAGGATTATCTGTCATAAGATTGGCCAGAGAATCGTCCCCGGATTACTGTTCTTTTCAAACACTTCACCCGTTAACAAAAATCAATATATCGTATCTCCTTAGACCTGTCAACATGCCCCCCCCCCAAAAAAAAAAATAAAAAATGTGTCCATCTCCCCACCAAAAAAAAAAAAATCAATGGAAAAAAAATGCACTAGCAAAATGTAAAAATTTGACGTACATGGGAATGGTCTCCCTCTAAATGAGAAGGGTGCATTTGTACACTTCTAGTTAATAGTGTGCCTGATTGTAGGATTTTATCAGCGCTCCACATTGAAAATATGGCACAAGCCCCCCCCCCCCCCCCCCCCCCCCCGACGCACACCGGCCATGCCACAGTAGCCTATAATATAAGAGGGGCTACATCTCATCTCCGCTTTGTGACTGTGGCGAACCCCAGACGATGTGCCATTGAACTCTCTCGCCTTACTGGTGGCATCGCAGCCCTTCACTTGGCCGAGGACCCAGCGAGACACTGGCTTACGGACAATACAACGAGATCGCCATGACGCCATAATAGCATACGACACCATCATCATCGAGTGTTGAGCGCATTGACAAAATCGGAAATGTAGTAGTCTCAGTTCGATTGGCAGCTAATTCGTGGACTGGTTGGACATGGTCTTGATATCAGGCGATCCGAGTTCGAATCGCAGTGACCTTTTTTCTCTTCTTCTCATTTTACCTTTTAAATAACTAAAGTGAGGAAGGAACACTTCTCACAAGACGTACAGCCTATCTTGGGTTTGTGTTATGGAGAACGAGGCATTAGATATGCATGTAATAGACCAATCAGAAGATGGGAAACGGACCTCGTTTGGGGAAAAAAGATTCGCGGTGGGCAATATCTTCGCATGCAGAATGTAACCCTTTTTTTCGAGATCCGTGCAATAATGGTCTATACCTTCAAAAAGGTACGCATTTTTCCTGGGTGGAGAGAGGTAATTGTAGTAAAGTCTCTTGCCCAAGAACACAACACTATGTTCCCCGTCTGGCCACGTACCACGCGGCACACGAGTCGAACACCGTGACCACTGGACCACAGCACCCAACAAATGCACACTATGCAAACTGGTTACTAACCGTGTGGAGTTCCGTCTTGGTCAGACCCAAGTTGTAGACGACGATCTTGGTGCTCGGCATGTGCATCTGAACAGTGGCCACCATCTTCTTCATCTCCGGGTAATGATTTGACGACACGGCAGTCACGATGCGAGTGCGGTTAAAGAGCATTTTCTGGGAAGGCATGTAAAAATCCAAGTCTATGAGCGGGTAAACGGGCTTGGGACGCGGGAGGGACTTCATGACGTTCCAAACCGCCTCTGTGCTTTGCCGGTAAACTCTTCCCGATTTGGGTGACATGAGGTAATGAATAATTCCATCTGGCAAAAAAAAGAAGAAATTATGGGTAGGCCTAAACAAACGAAATGGCATGGCACAAGATAATGACACTTTTTTCGGGGAGCGTTAAAAATGAAAAGTTGGGACTAAGGTTGACCAATGAATAACAACTGTAGGCAAAGATACAGGATCAAGAAGCAATCTTATACATCCCTTCGTGAGTTGAGATGCTGGGTTGAAATTAAGACTCAATCTCTTCGTGCTCTGTTTGACATTATTATAGCTGAAAAGCGAAGTAATAGGCTAAGCTGCCAAATAAAAGCGAAAGAAGTACAAATCGGTCAAAATCGGTGTTATTTCAACTGCTTTGTATTTTCAATAGACCTTTCCCTTTCTCAGGGTACGCCATCTTGAAAATCAAAATGAGGCAAATAACGTAAACGAACATGGCGGTCTAAACAGTGTGCCTCGGTGAACGAGTGACTCTCGCACAGTTACAGCAGATTGACACTCTTTTCAATGGATGCAACAAGGCTCCAATTCCCCGTAACATCAATCCGTATTCTGGGCAGGTCATGTCTCATTGCATTTTGAAGATAAAGTAAAGCCTAAAACCACCGGCTGAACTTCCTTGAAGTAGATGAAATAACCATGCAAAATTGTGATTGACAATTACTCAACTTTTTTTCAGAGCCACATATTATTACGTGTTATACCGCAGACGCACTACTCTATACTGTACGGATTTTTCGTGCATTCGTTAGTTAAAAGGAGTTGTTTTTCTATTTGCTATTTTATTTTAAAAAAATACTTTTTTTTTGTACTTGAAGTTATGAGCAGCCTTTTTCTTTTGCACAAAAAATCCAGGGAATTCATGGAATTAATCACGGTAAAAATATATGGGTCTGGGCGTGGTTTGGATATGTGTTCCCATTCCGGAAATCACAACCATTAATTTTTAGGACATGGGCCAAGGTCCTCCCATTTACAGGTCAGTCCTCATTCAGTCATTAGCGGTGTTGCAACAACAGAGCTTTGTAATACCTTGCTGAAGAAAAGCAAACAGGAATCCTCCCAGAACAATTAGGAAAAAGGCTCCGTGGACGGTCCTGTTGCGGCCCGCTCTCCTCAGCAGCTGTACTGCCAGTCGCGTCCCGCCGGCTATCATTCCGTGTGGTGCCGTGATCACACTGACTATCTTGGTGCCTCGTCCACCTATGGTCACGACGGAGCCAGAAGTTCAAACTGTAAGGAGTATAAACATGAGAGAAGCAATGATTAAAAAGAAGTGCAACTACAATACATGGTTATTATTATTATTTCATATTTTTCATATGAAAACAAATAGTCAAGTAACTTGGTCAGCGAGCCGAAAGCGAACACCCGATCATAAATCGATTCAGCGCACAGAATGAGAGTGCAATGTGCATGCATAAAAAAGCTAGAGACGTTTAACCTTCAAGTCGCATTTTCTCCATTCTTTTTTGTCGGTGATGTGATTTTGTTTTCAACAGCACTAGTGATTCAAGTGTTTGATTCAAGAATAAATTGGTACAATTCACCGCGTGATGGCTGACTTGACGGTCATAGTTTTCATTGAATACTCTACCCAAGGACGGTTTCTATTATATTACGTGCTATAGAATTTCGTTCACTGGGAAGATCCAATATTTTCGGACATTCTTTAATAAGGGAATTTTTTTTATTATAGGTTTTCCTGACCATTTTCACCAAGTTTTCATTCGATTTAACACCTGGCTCATTCAGTTTAGATTGAAATTGAAAGATCACGCAGATCGTCATTCGACAACCAAAGAATCATTTAATTTTCTTTGAACATTCTATCGTCTTTTAGCTTCACTCGTCCTTGTAAAAGATTCATTCAAATCAAAAGTATCGTATTGTTCATTCAATTTCGTCTGAACCATTTAGAAGGGGTTGATCGGGCATTCATTTTCATTAATGGGCAAACATATTACACATTTGTTCAAGCATCTTTTAAGAAATTCCTGCACGTTCGTATTCTTGTGAAAGTCCGGGGGAGAGGGTGGTTCGCACCATCTTCTGATATGGGTACTGTTAAAAGCGAACATTTTCGCTCTACATCCCTGCAAATTTCGCAAAGTACGTACGTACGATTTTTTCCAACAGGCCGATATCGCCGTCCCGATTTTGCTCGTATGAGCGTCCCGATTACGCTTTTAAAAATTCTAGCCCGTTGCAATCTGCATCTCTGCACTTCTGCACTGCCTGATTACGCCACTGTGTCTTGCACGTCAAGAAAACGATGGGTTAATCAGCGATAAATAAAAAATACAAATACAAAACAGAACGAAAATGAACAGTAAACAAAGAAAAAGGATTTGTTCAAATGTTAAAACATGATCAACAGCGAAAAAGAAATTCCTTAGCCCTTTCCTGGCGGGTTGAGTCGGTACAATTCACTCGAGAATATCACACCAACTTTTGACCTTACGACTCATGTCATTATTTCCTTACATCATCCCTTAATTACATCAGTAAATTTGTTACATTATACATTTTACCGACACAAAGATTTTGAAAAAAGTGGACCTCAGAAGAAAATAGGAAATATATCAAGACATAGTGTTAATTTGAATGACCCAAACGATGAAAATGACTGCCCCTAAACGAATAAGAAAAGAAAAACGTGGTCATACGTCATATGCCCAGCGACGTTCGCTAATTTGAATGCGTCAACCGTCAAAAGATGTCTAAAACGTATGTAAGACTTAATGTAAGAATGCTGCAAATTAAGTCTTGAATGCATGCACCAAAACGAAATGGAATGCCCCCAAACAAAAATTAGGAACAAGAAATTGAATGCCCCAACAATGAAAAAGAAACCCCAGTTTGATCCGGTGTGTCAAAATCACGTGAAATTGAATGGCTAATAATGAAACAGATTTTTTTTTTTTTTAAATCAGAAATTGGCCAGGAAAAACCTATATTATTACATAATGATGTCGGGCCGTTCACGCGTGTTGTGAGAACTACAGGTTTCACGTCTCTGACTGCAAAACAAGGTAGGAAAGTCACAAAAGTGCGTTTCAAAATTACAACAAAACATGTGTTAATCTGAAGAAAAATGACTGCTTTAGCCCGCAAAATTCACTTTGGTACTGGACAGTCACCCGCAAAAGTCAGTTTTGAACAGACCTTGGGGGGAAAAACCAGAGTTGTCCTATAAAGATTACCAAATAATAGGTGCCGAAGAAAATACACGACACCTTGATATAAAATATAAAAATCTAAAGATGAAAAGTTCAGCTTTCCTAATGAATACCTTTGCTCTCATCGTTAATTTTTCTTACTTTTGATGTCCATGTGATGTGTAGGCCTATATATAATTATTTTGAATGCGCAAACTGCTACATCGATTGCACATAAAAGAGGAAAGTGAGAATCGAAGGTCGAAACCTCACTAAAACAAGTTGTGCTAAATTGAATGACGATGGGGTGCTATTTAATTGAATGACGCAATTTCCAATTTGGATGTGTTGGCATACACATTTGGATGCATAAACAGTATTGAACGCAATGACAAATAAGTAAGAACCAAATAATCAGCAGTATGATCAAAATCGCTTGAATATATGTATTTTCAGAAACGAATTGCATGTTTTTCATACGAATTTGTGCAGGAAAATCTATAGTGTGGTAGAGCATATAAAATATCTGGTTTAAAACTGGTTGGCGCCTGCATGGCCGCCGATTATAGCCCAACTTCGATTTAAACCAGACATTTAAAACTGCTCCACCAGTACCAGTACATTCAAATTTGTATAAAAACGATGTAAAATAATGTAAAATAATATGCTTTTATCAAAAACCTACAATTTTTGAGGGGAAAAATGCCTCTTTAGTTAAACATACTGGCTTCCCAAGCATGACCCCACCCCCTGTAATTAGGACCCCACTGGGCCGGGGACGAACGTCAAACAACAGCAATTGAGCATTTTATGACAACATGCAGGCTGAGCAACTTGACCGTTTGCCTAGTCGTGAATCGAGACAATCGACAGATTGTATGAGTTAGATACCCCGGCCTCATACAAGACAATGAACGGAAAAGAAAACCGGAAAAATTTAACTAACTCACCGATCAACCATGGTCCATGGCTCGATACTTGAAGTCGAATCCATCAAATCTTCACAAGTCCATCAAAAGTCCCCCATTCTTAATATAAGTCGCATGCAGTTGAAATGAAATGTATAGCAAAGGCATTCCTTTGTTTTGTTCACCCCCCCCCCCTGCCAATTACTTGTGACCGGACTTGCGATTTACAAAATGAATTTTATCTTTGGTGGATTCGACTACTGTACAGTGACACTGTCAATACCAATGTAAGACTATTTTGGGAACGACACTTAAGGCCTATTTTCTCCCTTAGGCCTACACCGTATCGAACATTATTTTACGATAACTCTTAAAAACAGGTTCCGTGTTATGTTTATGGCAACAAGGATGGATGGTTATACCATGGAGCTAACGTTTCCTTCTCAGTGCAAGTGAAGTTGGTGCATATAGCTTAGACAAAGAAGAAGGAAACGTTACGTAGAAAACAAATGACGTCAAGTTACCCCTTGTCTCTCAAAATTGTTATAGAAATTTGAGTACAAATCGGAACAAAACTTACTCGTTGTGGACAGGAATTCAGAATTCGTCCGGTATGGACGATATCATCCACTCCCTTCGAATCGATCTGGAACACTATGGTCCTTTTAGTCTTGTGTGGTTGATGACATGTCCGTGTGAATCGCGCATGGCGGAGAACGTGCGATGAATTGCATGTAAGCCTTGGATATAGATCGCCAGCACAATGGTCGATTACGTAAGAGTATGAAAGCATCGATCGGACATAAGGAAAGAAAAGCCTCGGGATGTCCTCCATTCGATTGTTTCCAATAAAAAAGACGGACAGGTCAATAAAAAGGATACATGACAGTGTTATAGTCGAGACCGGATAGTCCGAGACCAAGACCGAGACCTGAAGTTGCGAGACCGAGACCGAGACCGAGACCGAGACCAGTGCCTTCAAGGCGGACCGAGACCGAGACCGATATGGTCCGAGACCGAGACCGAGACCGCGGATAATAAATAACAATAATCTTAAAAACATAATTACAGCTGAACAGTCTGTCCTTGAGATGATGATGTAGATGGGGATGTGAAGGAAGTGATTGGAAGCTAGGAATCACTTGTACCTGCTTCTGTCATGCGCGTGCTCTTCATGTATGTTTCATTTTTTGCAATGTTAAAACTTGACAAAAGTAAAAAGTTAAAGGTGGATGTTTCATCTGTTATAGGAACTCGGATCCTAAACTCCACAGCCACCCCTTGGTTTCAGCAATGACTACTAACGGAAATTTAAAGATGCAATTTTACATTGAACCTCTTTTTTTTCTAAAATAATAATAATATGACTTAACCTCTAACAACACTTTGTAAACCTGATTTTAAAAAAAAGGAGCCAGAAAATATAGAAATATTATTTTGTAAAAATTTCGTCATGGAATATAGACTTGTGTATGTTGACCAACAAGTTGCGAGGTGGTAGTCAGATATGGATTTGTATTTTTTTTCTGATCCGAATTTTGCTTTGTGAGGAATAATGGTGTACTTTAAACGAGCAGCCAGAAAATGGAGTCTAACCATACATTTGCATGGCAACAGTGAGTGGTATCTGGTAAAACTATATAGTGTGGGAATTCATTGCTGGAAAATCACGTAGGAAAAGCTACTTTTTCTGCAAAATACTGTCACAAATTAGAGAGAAGATTGTATAAGGTCGAAAATTTCACTAATTTGGAGCACCTCAATTATTTTAAGAAAAGAAATTCAAGTGAATACAAGCACAAGTAGGCTAAACTACACAATCCCTACAAATGGTGGGCCCTTTTTATTGCATAAATTGGTACTTACTTTGCTTTATGAGCTCACTCAAATATAGACATTTTGGCTGGTCTCGACCCGAGACCAGCCAAAATATCGAGACCAAAGGGGACCGAGACCAAGACCGAGACCACCGCTCCCGAGACCGAGACCGAGACCAGCAAAAGGTGGTCTCGAGACCGAGACCGGTCTCGAGACCTACAACACTGATACATGATTTGATTTGATTTGATTTGATTTCTGTGCTTTCTGACACATAGTAGTGAACCAAATAAACTAAATATAAATGAAGCAAACAATTCAAAAGAAATAAATGAACAGAAATAATTAAATGAAAATTCAAATTAATTAAATTAATATAAAATCTGAAAAATAAAGAAGAAAGCACGGAGGCATTTTCTAGAAGCGAAAGCTTGTACAGAAATGCCTTGTGCAAATAGTATATTACCCCAAAAAAACCCACATAGGCCTAGAGATTCACGAAAAACGTACACTATGACAAAAACATGGACTAAGACAATAACGAGACTGCAAAGAACAAAACAAAACAAAAACACACAAACACACAACTACACAAATTGTTTAAAACAATAAACATGGTGAGGAAAGGGGAGAATAAAAAACCTTAACAAATAGCCAATGAGATCAAAGACAACCTCGTCCCCAGTGCTTACTTTATTTCCAACATCGTTTTCAATAGTGAACCCTGGATAGGAAATTTTCTTCCTGTATCCTGATTCGATAACGCAATTGGTTAGAAATGGATTTATACCGTGTACTTTGCACTGTTGTTATTCAAAACGTGCAGTTCGTGTTTTCGCGATCATTCGTCCACGCCTTCTCGAAAATATTCATTTCCTTTCCAATTTGTTCATATTAAAATGAAATGTAATACTGCATAATTTGTCTTGATAAGATCGTAACAGTTTAATTGAAAAAAATCGTGTTTTCGTAACACACGCCGTGCTCGCGCTGCGACAAATTGACTCTGTTTTTTCCCCAGACACCGCATACAAAAACAAACGCGAATGTAACGCACAGGCAGGCACCAGACTATTCCTAATTTGCATACGTGTTCAAAAATCTTGCCCATGCAAATGATCCAATACCAGGGTGAGAGAGCAGCTAGTGGTGGGCGTGTACTGCTCGACACTCTGGGGACGAGGTTGGATCAAAGAAGCTGCGTTACAAAACAACCACAACCCCCCATTTTGCCCAATGTACCAAAAAAACTAGATACTTTTATCATGAATGATTTATTGAATGTCTGAACTGCAAAAACGGGTGGTTTTGGTTTTGGTTCTGTTTATTACGCAACAATGACGCATTAGTGAGAAAAAAACCCAAAACATAAGGCATTGAGTAATCAGAGTAAGAGAATAGCGCATTTTAAATTAATCAATTTTAAAATAAGAAAAAAAATTGGGCAATAATGTGATTGTGACATTAAAAATATCATACACTGTAAAATTAAGGCAAACAAAAAATAGTAGCAGTAAAAAGTAAAATGAAACGGACAAGTCAAAATGACAGTCCAATTAAAGATGTAGATACCCAACTGAGGAATAATGCACGATTATATTTTTACGAAATAAGCACTTTTGACATTCCGCATTCCACACAGACGTGCCGGTAACTTATTTGAAAATAAATTGCTCTACTGCGGCTCTGAAGGAACTACACGAAAGTTTTGGTCCATTTAAATGGCAAGTCTCCAAATCAGCATTTAGAAGAAAAAAAAATCACTCGGTAAGCTATTTTGAAACGTTTTGCTTCAAACGTGTCAACATGCTATTCTCTTACACCCGTAACTCGGCCTATTTATAGGAGCAAACACCAAGCGGCGCTGAGTTCCTCTGCAGGCGACGTGACAGGGGTGAAATTGGCCCCTGACCCAGGCTGGTCACGCCGCTCGCCCGCTGCCTCGGCCGACCGTCTCCTGGCGCGTCTCTTCCGCCGACACGACCGGCACGAGCACGATGGCGTTTGCACCGATCTGTCAGTCTTACCCGCGGCACCATCGGCGGCTGGCGTCAGGGGCGTTTCTGCGGTTTCCAGCTCCTGTTCTAAGTCACGTTTACACCCTGGTCGTGGTTCACCGATGAGTGATTGTCGTGCTGCCTTCTCTGACTGATCATCAACGGGTGTCGTCAGGAGTAGCGGGGCAATCCCCGACATCAGGAAGTCTTCATCTTGCTGCCTCTTCTCTCCGTCGAACAAGTTCCCAACAACGCCGGCTTTCTCGGGGTTGAAGTAACTGGAGGAGCAGCTGGAGTTCTCAAGCCACAGCTGTACCTTCTCTGCCGTCTTCTTCTGGCTTCTTGTTTTCCGTCTTCTCCCTGTAGATTTCGACGCCGCTAAGTTACTGTCATTGCCGACGGTAAGGGAAATTGGAGTTTGGCCTTCAGGGGGTGCTTGGTTTTGGGTAACGCTTGGAGTCGTGTGGTCAGTTTCAGATCCTGCCATATATCCCTCCTGTTGATCCTCCGCCAGTATCTTCAGGGGGCTCGCTTTCTGGACTTCATCTGCCCCTTTTTCTTGTGCCAGGTTGTTGGAATTATTCTGGTCTTTATTTTCGACTGTCACAGTAGGGCCGGACTGCACGGATCCACCCCCTTGCCTCGGCATGCTTGCATCCTTTGCATCTGTTGACGGCAACGATGCACCCTTGTCTTCACTGAAAAACATCAACCCCGGGGATCCATCCAGAAGGGAGGAGGGAATGTTGACCGTCACCATGGGCGACATGAGAGGGGCCCTCTCTGTCAGGTGTACGGTGACGGCGCAATTGTTGATCTGTGCCCTGGCCAGCTGCACTCCCTCCCTCGGTCCTGATACTGTCAGCAAGGGTCTCGGTGATCCATAGATGTCGACGTAATCCAAGCCCTCGGATGCCTTGAGTCGATCGGCCTCCCGGCAAATCAACAGGCCCGTTGTTGGCGAATTCCTCTTCTTAGAAGAGGTCATCAGGCCTACCGAAACCTGATGACTCTTTTCAGATTTCTGTGTCCGTCGTCCGTCTGACTTCCGTCGGCTACTCTTCACAATCTTCTGTCTCTTCGAGCGCTGGCTGGCCGCTGTTCTTTTTACAGGTAGAGTCTTCGTCTTGCTCCTCTTCACAGATGCAGCCTCAACCCTCTTTCTCCGGGAATCACCGGTCTCGAGTGTTTGTGTACCTTTCTTAGATGTCATGGGTTTTTGTTTTCGTCCGGTCGTCCCTCCCTGTGACTGTTTGGGTGAGGTGACAGATCGGACGGATTGTCTGGGTTTTGCTGCCTTGGTTGCCTGTGGTGATGTGAGTAACCGACGGACTTGAGTAGTTAGTCTGAGCATCTAAGTGTAGGACAACAAAACGAATAAACGAGAAGAGAGAATGGGGGAAAATATAGTAGAGTCACCTGGTTTGCGTTCATGTGTGACGACTTTATGTTACGCCTAGACTTCAACAATGAATACATGTAGGCTACTCAGGCCAACAAAAAATAGTTCTGCTTCCGATTACAGGGCATTCAAACAAGGTAGGTAGGTAGGGAATTTTCTTTTTTTGGGCAACTTTGTTTGTGTACGATCATTATGGAGGCGTCTGCGTGTAGTCAAGGGTAAAAGGTAGTAATTGATGGTTTTGGGTGTTTTATTCTCATTTTTCCCATAAAAAGAATTAGGGTAGGGGCTGTCAGAATTGAGAATATGGTAGGTGGGGAAAGCGGAAGCAGAACTATTTTTTTTTTGGGGGGGGGGGGGAGCCTTAGCTTGTTTTGCACCCATTTCAACAGCCGATTGTTTATGTCAAGATGAGGGTTGCGGGACATTAAAGGTATAGTCCATCATTTGCAGCCATCCGAAAAGTAACTGGCGTAATTACTGTTGAAAAACACACTTGGTTGAAAGATAGTAAGGGAACTAAACTCCCTGTGAAATTATTCTTTCTGGGAAGCTGTCATTTTGAAGAAATCAACGAAAGAAGGCATTTCCAACGGTAATTCTTAAGAAGTACCGTAGGAAAATTTAAATTAGTAGTTCGTTTTGTTATTCGGCGCAGCGCGCGCAAGCATTAGAACGACGCACACGCGCGCGCGGTTGTTATAATTCGTCGGATCAGTGCGCGACGCCGCGTATAGCTGCAATTCAAAACAATTCAAAACATGATTCAGTTACTTTTGATTTGAAATTGAGATCCTAGAATGCTGCTTTTCTCGGAATGTACAGCTGAAGCTTAGCTGAAACTTCATCAGGTTAGTTGCTCAGTATCCTTCATTAGATTTTGAACACTTTTGTTGCTTCAAACGAACAAAATGCACTAATTACAAATGATGGACTATACCTTTAAGACAGAGCTTCTCGTGGGAAATGATTTGCAAGTTCGCGTTTCACGTCCCTTTTCGGCATTTTGTTTGAAGAGTTCCCTGAGTCCCCCTTCCTCTCTCCTTTTCCTTTTTTAGGTACTCATGGTAGGTCTTTTGTTTTGATCTGTACGCAAGTCCAAGAGGGCCTAAGACCCGTTGCAAATACATGTAAATTGATCCAGGATTCAGTGGCGTAACTACGTGGGGGGGGGGGGGGGGCATGGTGGAGGGCAAAGCGGGGGGGGGGGTGGCATGGGGGAGGGGGGCATGGTGGGACGTACCTCCTGGGTGCCCCCATTAAAAAAGAACATAGCCTACAGGCCTAGGCATAGCCTATCACTTTAGCTATTATCCCCTTGATCGTAGGCCTAACTTGTATGCACCCCAGGTGCCCTCGGAAGTTTAACCCTAGTTACACCACCGACAGGATTCCTCACATATAGACCAATCAAACAATAAGGTCTACCTCCAAATGGTTTTACCTCCAAATCCTGCTCCGTCACCCCTCTCACGTCCAAGACATCCCTTACACTGCCCAGTCGCTTTCTCCGTCGGCGGTATGTAATGATTCTCCCGGCTGTGTCCGGAGCAATCCCCGAAACGGCGCTGAGCCGAGCGGCCGTGCACCGGTTCAGATCCACCCGTGTCCCTTCTCTCATTTTCCTCTGGAAATATTCACTCGATATTTAATGATTTGATGGGAAAGAGCTATTAAAGGTTGGCTGAGTAACTGATACTATGATATGATAGCGAGCTAATTTTGTGGGTTTTTTTTAATGCATGGCTTCCGATTGAATGAGTTCTTTACCTGTAATACGCGCGCGTTGAAAATGCATATATGCGCCCAAAGTTCTATGGCTCAAATGCGGTTGGATATACTAGATATCTCGCGCATTTCCCCATACGCGCGAAATAGATATGGCATAAAAAGACACGCAAATCTGTTTGACTACGTTTTACTAGGAAACTCGTATAATTATGCCGCACGCACGATGAACAATTCTTAAAGGGGGGGGGGCTTTAAACACTGACTAGTGTTGTAAATAATGGGGCGAAAAATAATAAATTGAGTGCTAAAGTTCCTCAATTTTTTCTTGAATTGCCTGAGAAAGTAGGAGAAATAACCGCAAAGTTTTCCAGGACCGGGGGCATACCCCGGACCCCCTAATAATAGGGGGCGGGGGGGGGGGGAGGGGCTCAACAGGCTGCATCCGAATCAGATGTCTAGATCTAGGTCTAGGTTAGTCTGAGTATCACCCGTTCTACGGAGCGAGCCGTGTGCTCCGTAGGTCTGCGCCAATTGAAAATACGCGAGGACGCGCTGACAATATGAGTATAATAGGGGTAGCTCTGGAAGCCCATTTCGGACACGGCCTTAATATTACCCCGCCCCCTTTGCGGGGTAAATGAAAACGCCCATTTAAATAATTGATTGATTTTTTTGGGGATATATTAATTTAATTTATTTCCGTGCTTCCTGATAGCATGCCTATATTAAACCAAATAAACTAAATATAAATGAAGGACACAATTTAAAAGAAATACATGAACTAAAATAATTCACAGAAAATTCAAACAAATAAAATTAATATTCAATCTGAAAATTAAAGAAGAAAGCACGGAGGCATTTTCTTGAAGCGAAAGCTGGCACAGAAATGCCTTGTGCAAATAATTTATAACCCGAAAAACGTGACGCGTAATTATATAATACATTGTACTGCTGAATATTAAATATTTTGACACTCCCTTGGTGTCAAAGTTTGTTGTTTTAATTAACGAATACTTCCAAACAAAGACAAAACATTGATTAAGTGCTCAGACAAATCAGTATTGATTTCAACTTGAGTCACTTTTTTTTTCGTGTGAACTGCTGATGTAATAAAAATCACCATATGTTTCCACAATTTTACGAATAGCCGGTCATTCTCAGAATTTCGGTTTCGAAAGGAACATTTGCAATATTCGGTAGACTTATATATACGTGTTTCTTTAGACGGGCGCATATCATAAGTACCTAAACAAATTGACTCTTAGCCTATTAAAAATGCTGTCATGTCGTAAGTAGGCCTATGCTCTTGAAATCGATTTGAAACCCACTTTTGCAGTACAAAAATGTACTGTATCTTTCGTCAAAGTACAACGGTTGTCACTGGTCTTTTTTGCCCACGCCCACATAATAATCGGTGAAGCTGAATCAGAATTCAAACCTCTAATATTACAATTCTAATTTCTTGTCCTATTTCAACTTTTGTACACAAGTATGCAGTTTCCTACATTGCTCTTTAATAATAATAATACAAAAATTCTTTTCAAAATTTTCAACAAATATGTATTTTCTGTTAATATTGGGTCTTGCCCATCACCGACGTAGGCCTAATATTCTTTTATCAAAGCAATGTATGTTATTACTTGATTTTTGTCTCATGATGGGGCTCCCGGACGGCATTGAATAACAGTGTTTATATAATTAATTAGGCCTAAGCAGACGAAAGACGAAGAGGAAAACCCAGTATGATAACATTTTTTTTGGTCATCCATATAACATGTCTATATCATGCATCAAAATTGTGTCCACAAAAACAACTTCAGATTCTAGAAACCTATAGCAAGAAACGCTGTGGACTAGACACATCATAATTTCATGTAAATACGGCTTTTGAAATTCTAAAGTTCTAAACATAATTTTCTTAATTGTTTGTTTTGATTTTCAATTGAAGTGTGGTTGGTTTTCATTCATTTACTTGTCCTATATAATCACTTATTTCGTCTTTTCTCAAAGATGTCCAATGACTGTTTTCGGTCAACAGCTTCCACAGGGAATCCGGTAAAAATATTTACCTTTTATGCAAACAATAGAGATGCAACTCTCCACTTTCCTATTTGTTGCTTTGTTCATCATGTTTATGTCATACTTCAATCAAATATTCTCGCCTGTTTTATTCAATAATGTATGAGAGAATTTGTGAATGATGAACTATTCAGCGGTGAAGCGGCCGTTGGCATCAGCCTGCAGGCAGAACATCTTTGGGGTTGGAGCCGACGGCTTCTCACAAATCACGTGTCTGCGCTTGGAGCAAGCGAGGTCATTCCAGAGACCATCCTCGCCATTCTTCATCGCTGTACAAACTCCAACTCGGGAGCCATTCCTTGGCCGTTCCTCTGCCCAGTTGAAGTAGGTGCACTCCCGCCCGCTCCCACCCGCCTGCATCCACCTGCCTTCATCCTCCGTTCCGGAACAGCCAATCCAGAGACTCCCCTGACCGCCTCCCCAAGATGTGAACATCTCCCAGATGAATCGATGCTCGTCCAGGGAGTCAGGGATCGCCAAGCCACCGCCCGCGGCAGAGCAGTTTTCATAGCCCGTCTGCCACGGCATTGTCTCATCGAGTATGTGGTAACAGGACCCACCGAATGCTTCCTGGCCAGGCTGGCACCAATGGGCATGAACGCATGCAACAACTGCAATCAAGTCTAGCCAAACCAGCTTCATTACTGCGAAGGCGATCAAAAGTAAAAGAAAAGAGAACCCGTCTTATCGCATACTATAGTTCAGTTGCTCTTGTCACACGCTAAACCCAGTACGGCGCTTGTTTCAATATGCTGAAATAAATGCGATGACGGAGAGCTGATCTTCTGACGTTTGGAATTATCGGCCACAAAAGTGGATAACTTGAAACGTGTTGCTGCGCCACGTCGCTATGAGATGGAACGGTTGCTATGTCTTGATAGAAAATCAATAATGCTCTAGCTGGGACATGATTGCTTCTGTGGGTGTGCTTCCTGTTGACCTGTATTCATTTCAGCTGGCAATATTGAAGGGGCATTAGAGCCTAAAATCCCCGAAAAATGTGTGTTTTGGATTGCGTACGTTATCCTATTTCAAAGGTCTGGTTGGAACGAAACTAACGTAATGTAATGTCTTACCGTTCCCGAGAAAAGACGGGGAAAAAAAGACCCTGGTTGTTTACATCGGACGCGGCGGAAGTTTTGTGGCATACGCATACGTATTTCCAGCCGTGTCCATTCAATGTACGGTACACGTTTGTGTGGTCACACACAGCACCAATACACACTTTGTTCTTTCTCGCACGTCCGAAGAATGCGATGCACTGTGCGGCAGGATTCACAACTAGCATGCACTCAACAGCTCGATTTTTGAGGGTCAAAATTAAATGTTGACCACCGAAATACGTTCTCGCATGGTTCTCGCAAGAAACACAAAAACGTCCAGTTGTTAAAGGATGGTTGTGTGGATGTTACATTGAGCCTGGACGTTTATATCCTGCTTTTAAATGATCTTTCCAATTCACATCATTTCGTTTAAAACTCGTTCAAGGAATACCCTTTTAACTTTGCCTCACTGAATAACATCATTTCGTCGGTCTCGTGTAAATTTTGAATCTTGCTCCCTAGTCTGGTTTCAGCACGAAAAAAATGGACTATATTCTGACAAATATATAGGTCGGGTAGCCGTCACATTAAAAAACAAACACGACGCAGCAGCAGAGCCCGGTTTATTAGACAGACATTTTGATGTTCGCGGGCAAATTGTTTGAAATTGAACATCTATTTCTCCCGTTTTGAAGACTGTATCTTCATGCCACTTTCAGAGTTGGTTTCGCCTTGTAATATGCTAAGTATCGATATGTTCAGTATTTTTCATTCAAATTGGAAAAATTGGCTTGAGTACGTCCATTTTTCTAAGCTGTAACTAAATGATGTTTGCAATATCAGTCAATCTTTTCAAGCCTCGCGAATATTAAGGCTCCTATCCATATGCGGTAAACAATAATACGACCCTCTTCTTCGCCAGTTATTTTAAATTAATAAATGTCAACCTTTTTGCGGGCGTCCATGGTCGATAACGAGTGATACGAAGTCACGCTAATGAATGAGGATAACAACGCCCCAGTCAGCGCGGCATTGTGTTGTTTTGCTGCTCGGCAGAAAATCTGAGTCGAAATTTATACCTTGGCGATTTACAAGGTATAACCCAAGCGTTTGCAACAACATATGAAGCCGAAATTCGGAATATAATACTTAGATGATATTAGTGTTCAATTACTCGAGAAATTAAAACTTGTAAGGATTCCTAGAAATTGAGATAATGGATTTGGGGTCCTTTTCGAAGGATTTTCCCACGACTTCAGGTCAACTTGACTACTTGAGTGACCAGTCAGTGACGTTTCTGCATCAATAACGGCGATTTTGTTCACTGACATGAAGATTAGAATTTGTTCTATTATAATTTTAACATTTACATCATACTGAGCATATATTTTCAAAAACAGAACGTTCAAAAAGTGATTTTTGTGTGTGCAATCAGTTCTCTGTGGCGTCCATGTACGTAATCTGATTAACGTTGCCTATCAACGCACAACGCAAAGCCTTCGCAACCCATAAAGGGCGGATCAAGAACACAATTTTTTTGGAGGGCCCAAAAAAAAATTGTCGCCGTTATTGATGCAGAAACGTCACTGACAAAAAAATGTGGTCCCCAAAAAGTGGGTCAACAAAATTACGGCGTGGGGTTCGGGGCCCACTCAAGGGCCCCGAATTTTTTTTGATTCTAGCTGCTTTGTGGTGCGCTCTGATCTTCAACCAACTTTTTTTTTATAGAAAACTAATGGTGGTGTACGCAGTGCCTGCCTTTATTGCGACATCAATAAAAAAAGAAAAAAGAAAATGGGTTCGTTTTGGGGGGCCATGGCCCCTGTTGCCCCCCACCCCAGGATCCGCCCTTCTTGTCGCAACCGTCAGGCTGTAAAGGCCTAATTACCTCTGAAATTGAAAATTTTAGATGCAAGCAAGGAGAATTTTCAAAACTGATAACAAGCAAGATGTGTTTTATTTATATTTGTAACGCTGAGCTGTTGCGAACATAATCCGTGTGTCACCGAATGTATTTGGTAAACTGTTGACGTTTTCGGTAATGGGCAGGATGCTTTTATCTTGTCCGTTTTGGGTCATGCTTATTTTAGCCGTGGCGACTGCATTTTTTGTCAGATTTGCGGGCTAAAACTAAAACTCAACCAAAGTCTAAAACGCTGCCAATGGACCATGTTTGCCCTTCATTTCTTGAGGAAGCAAACATGCTTTCACGACTAGGTACGGCAACCAAGATATTAAAACTTAAAAGGGAGCAATCAAGTATTAATCGGGCCAAAAATCCGTCCGCAGAGTTCTGATATCTGATCGAGAGCCTTGGAATTGGGGAATTGAACACATATGGCACTATACGTACCTCTTGCCTGGAATTGGGGCTTGCAATTCTGAGCATGTTGGATGCAATTGGGTCCGCCAGCGGCGCTATTTAGCTATTTAGCCATTAAAAAAAAATCCCTCAACAACATAGCTATGTTGTTGAGAGATCTTTTTCAAAATACTCAGTTTTCCAGTTTGGGAATATGGGGTTGGTCTTCTTTGGGTGAAATTTCTCCAAAAAGTCATGGGTCAACCCACCAAAAATTAAAAAGAAAATGAAAGCTGACACATGTTGATCATCCTCTTTCAGTGTAGCCTGAATACCTGTGAGAGTTCTGATTATGTTAAAAAAGAGTTTTGAAGTATGGGGATTTAACACTGGTGTCTATGGGAATTTACTTGCTTGGGTGCGCCCAAATCTATACACGTCGAGCGCCCTCTATTATTTTGCTAAACAGGCCAGTTCTTTTAGACTGATTTCGAGTCTAAAGTTCTCATGCTTAAGTATAGAAATTTCAATTGTGCGGTTATATATCAATTAATGCTTAAAAATGACAATCCCGTTTATTCCAGAGCATAAAATAAACATTAGATTCCACGAGATTGAAAAATGCCCAAATTCCAAATCTGATCGGTGATAGATTATTGTAGGAGCCTTGAGGCAAGTTTACAAATGTCAACACGCTGCAGTTTATCATCACCATGCGACGCGTGTTAATCCATAATTCACAAGCAATGGCCGTCCAATGCATGTGCACTTATGACCAAGGACAGGGGCTCCGTAATCCATGACGATTCTGATCGACGAAGTGACACCATTTGGTCAGAAGGGTAGGTACATATGTAGCAAGATATGTGACAGATGGAACCCCCCTCCTCTTTTGTGTTGGTCATGTGTTACAAGAATATCAGGAATTCGTTTGAAATACCGGGCGGTATCATATTCATAAGGCAAAAAAAAAAATGTTTAGCGTCCTGCCTTTGTAAAAAAAGGGAAGGAGGAGGCACTTTTTTTCCCCCCTCCAAAATAGCCGCCCATTTTTTTTTAAATGGCTGCCACTTGGACTCAGGAAATGACATACCACTACCAGCTTTAATTATTTGGGCTAGGCAACACTAACAGACAAACTGACAAAAAGGCCAAAATGATGTCAGTCACTGTTTACAATTTATAATTTTTCTGTTTAAAAAAGAAAGAAAAAAAAAGGAGGCGGCCTCCAAAAAGGAAGCGGGCGGGGATGCTAAACATGTTTTTTTTTTTTATTTGGCCTAAGTCTGACGCCACATAGCCTAGGTCCGATGCCTCATATAAATCCTAAATTTCGGACTTATGAGGTGTCGGGCTTATATAACTAGTATTATAACTGCATAGGCCTAACATTTATTTATTCCGCACGGCATAGGTCCAACACCTCATAGGTCGACCGACGTCGGAAAAACGAGGCGTCAGACCTATGAGGCGTCGGAGCTATGGACTGTTACCAGAAAAGGTTCATTTGTCCGACATACGGCAGTGTTACGCCCTAGCCCCACTAGTGTGGCCATCGGTATGCTGCGCTGAACCTAAGGCCACACACCGTGGTCCGCGCACTACTGAGGACGTTTTCATAAAATTTGCAGGGAATTTCTTACATATGGTTGTATTCTACGAATTTTAGTACGATGTCCCATCTATCATGTCTATCACTTCTGGGATGCTTAGGTGTAATGATGTTCAATTTTCCGAGATATTCTTGAATCTTTCTGGAGCCCATATATGCACTCGTGAAACGTCCGGTGATGGCAGCCATTTTGAATGTGACAAGAGATGACCTCAAGCTGTGACGTCACGTTTATGCAAATTGCTTGTCGAGCGAGGGCGCGAGTTGCAAATGCGACGGCTGTTTCCTGTACCATGCATTTATCGTCTGGGGGCCACGTGCACTGATCTCTATTCAGGATCTACGGCACAGGAAACAGCCGTCGCGTTTGCAACTCGCGCTCTCGCTCGACAAGCAATTTGCATAAACGCGACGTCACAGCTTGAGGTCATCTCTTATCACATTCAAAATGGCTGCCATCACCGGACGTTTCACGAGTGCACACTGCATGGGCTCCAGAAAGATTCAAGAATATCTCGGAAAATTGAACATCATTACACCTAGCTAAGCATCCCAGAAGTGATAGATGGGACATCGTAGAATACAACCATATGTAAGAAATTCCCTGCAAATTTTATGAAAACGTCCTCAGTAGTGCGCGGACCACGGTGTGTGGCCTTAGGTTCAGCGCAGCATACTGACGGCCACACTAGTGGGGCTATGTTACGCCCCAACTATGGTATCGGTCCCAACTATAGTTGGGATCCTCCCAACTATAGTAAGGACGGTCCCAACTGTAGTTTTACAGTTGGGCTGGCCCAACTATAGTTGGGAGTCATCAAGGGGGCCCATCAATAGTTGGGCCACTCCAATCTTTTTATTTTGCAGTGTCCCAACTATAGTTTAGATTGATGTACAACTATAAAACATTCCCTACAGCTCTGATACACGTCTGACTTTACTTGGGACCAATGAAATTAGCTATGGGTGGGGCCTATCAATAGTTGGGCCACTGCACTATTTTTATTTTGCGGTCCCAACTATCATGACCATAGTTTACATTGATGTACGACTATAAAACATTCCCTACAGCTCTGATACAATTCATGTCCGACTTTACTTGGGACCATTGACATTAGCTATGGGTGGGGCCCATCTATAGTTGGCCCACGCCAATCTTTGAATTTTGCGGTCCTAACTATAGTTCACTTGCTGTACAGCTACTGTAACATTCTACAGCTCTGATATATACACGTCTGACTTTACTTGGAACCATTGAAATTAGCTATGGGTGGGGCCCATCTATAGCTGGGCCACGCCAATCTTTGAATTTTGCATAAAAAATGTTGCTGGACTATAAAACCAAGCTACGTAGCTGGACAACTCATCCAACTAGGCAGTACCACGTGGCTGGCCAGCCCTGCGGCATGCATGCATGACGAATACATGGTGCCAGCGCCGCGGCGGAACATTAACACCCTCTATCGAGCCTCCGGGGCAACTCCATGCAGTCCTAACTATAGTTGGGCAGACCCAACTGCCACAGTTGGGACAGTCCCAACTATAGTTGGGACCGCTGCGATAGTTGGGGCGTAACAGCGCTTTTAACATTCTGACATTTTACGCAATGTTTGTATTAATTAATAATGGCTGTTGGACTTATGAGGCGTTGGATTTATGAGGCGTTGAACTTAGATATGGACAGAAATAAAAGTAAATTTAATTGTCGAACCTACGAGGTGTCGATGCTATGAGCAGGCCCGCGTGTACGACCGCCTCCTGTCGTGTGACCAAGCTTGGTCATGTGACAGGTCACGTGAGGGCCTCAACAACGCCAGTTGATAAAGACACCGTGATGGTGTCGCAAGCTCCTGATACGAGCTCTGTAACCAAAGTGTCAAAAGGTATCTTTTATTTACTTGATATAATGGGACTGGAAACGAACTGTCATGCTCGATTCTATGATTCTGTTTTTATTCTCAGTTAAAAAGTAGCTGAAGAAACGCAATGGGAACCAAGGTATCCAAGCAACAGGGGCCGAAAGCCTCCAAGAAGGTTGCCGTGGTGACGGCATTCAACGTGGTGAAGAATCAAGCAGCGACTAGGCGCATCGCTGCGTTGAAGCTAACTAAAGGTATTGTCTGAATTTTTCAATGTGAATAGGGAATTGTTTTACATCAAGAAATCCATTTGCATCAGAGCATTCTATTCACCATCAAATGCATACTAGCTTTGCACAAAAATATGTGCATGTGTATATAAATTGTGAAATACAGGGCGAGTAAAAAAAAGCAGTTTTAGGGTCATTGTGTTTAAAGGGAATATACAACATTTGCAAACATCGAAAAATAAAACTACCAAGTTTTTACGAAATACCTTACTAGGATGTTGGTAAATGACAGTCTAAAGCATCCTGTAAAATTATGGCACCTGGTGTATACATTTCCAATGGTGGTCGGCCGACCATCGTTGGAAAAACCTAACAATTTTTCAATTACTGCTCCAAATTTACCTTTTTTCAGTCCAAATTTTGTTTGCTATTTGTTACATGTTCATGAACGGGTGCAGGCCAGCTGGACTGGTTCCCTTACCTTACAGTTTTCTGGCATCTATAAATTGATCAATTTTATCTTAAGTGGAGTCAGGGAACCAGACTACTTGACCACTTTTGTTTTTCTTGGTTTTTCCAGCATTTTCCAACACAAAATTTCAAACATGTCAGTGTAGCAATATTTGATCTATTATACTAACCCCTCAAATAGTTCATTCCTGAAAATTATAGCAAAAGCCAATGATGTACACATATTCCCTTTAAATGGGGATATTGTTTGAACGGATTGAGCAATTTCAGTAATTGTTTTCATCTAAAAGTAGCTTATGAAATTAGCTTTCCAGTCATTATTATGTTTGGTGCTACAATTTTTTTTAGATATGAAATATAATTTTTGGGGTTTGGGTTCCGCTTTTTTGAACTTGTCCTGTGTTCTGGACTAGGCCTACATGATAGAATTCTTAATTAACTATTTATTGAGTTGTGGCCAATAAAAAACAAGTGCCGCTTTTTCATTTTTCAAGTGATATTTGAGTGCAACAAGGGCCAAAACTTGCATCCGTGAAAGAGGCTGCAAAGTAGAGGGCAGAGCAGCACGGTAAACATCTAAGAAGTTAACCAAACAGTCCTTTTCAGAACTACCATTTCTTACAAAAGGAGAAATGACCATTGTTGCAAAAAATGAGAAATAAAAGAGAACCAAATAAAGAAAGATAGATTAAAAATTAAAGAAAGAAAAACTACCCTCACCCCAAATCCATTACATTTCTAATAAATGACAATTAAGACCGTAGCCGAATTGAGAACTAATCGGCACATTTTAGAAAAGGCCATAACTCAATAAATATTAACCTGATTGGAATGATTTTTTTCGTTTTTAAAAGGCTAATGAACTATACTCTCCAAATATGTATTGATATTTGCGATGTATTTGTTAAAAGCTGTGAAAAAGAGGGCACTTTGATATTTTCTTTTTTTGGGGGGGGGGGTGATACCCTGTATGTGGATAATGTTGTCAGTTCATACTGATTTCCTTTATGCATTTTGTTTGAAAGCTTATCACTTATTTTTTCAGGTAGTCTCCTGTTTGTGTTGCATTCAGATTTGTAAAATTGTCATAAAACCAAGCTATGTTTGTGATATCAGTTTTTTCTTTTTATATTTCATCGTTCTACCTAGCCATGCCCAAAGAACTCCGGAAGGTTGATCTTGGCCTACCCCCATCTAAGGACATCAGAACAGTAGGTATGTGAAACAGAACTACCGTTTTGAAGTAGTTTCATGTAGACTCAAGTTCTACTCATTTTAAACCCCATTACATTTCCTGGTCAAATAGACATTAATTAGGGCTGTACATCGGAACCGGGTACCCGTGCGCCCGACCTTTGAAGTCAGGAACCGGTTCCAGATTATGGGATCGGGTACCCGTAACCAACTTTACAAATTACTTATTAACTTCTTAGACAGTGAAAAAAACACATTTTGAATGTCATTTGTGGGGAATTTTCAAAATGAAAACCAAGCTACATGGGAAAACAAAACATATTTCACGTTATGACGCTCGTGAAAGTTGCGGTTCACACCGTTAAGCTATGCTCACTGTACATACTTGTATCTTGCTGCATTGACGCCCGATGTTGTACTACTATTGTGCGGACCTTTGTGAACAATCTGAACAGCAACTTCCGAGTTTTGAATTTGGGGGATGGGTTTCTTTAACGGGTATCTGGGTATCCATGTTCCACCTGAGTATCCAGTACCCATACTACCCGTAAATGCACACCCATAACATTAACCCTAGACCTCTCTGATTCTTCAATGTCCACCAAGAGCTTTTGGAGGATTTTAAAATCCTTCAAAACCTTGGACAATGCTGGCGCTCAGAGCAAACATTTTGATGAGCTGAAGGTAAAGATCAGCCACTAAAAAGAAACGCAGGCACTTAAAGAATGTAGTTGAATGCTTCCTTCGCAGTGATACCATCTTTTGCCCCAATTTATCTTCACAGCTGACTTTGCCTGCATGACAGGCACTGCCTCCAGTGGCTTCCCCATCCCGGCTTTCACCAAGACCGACTTCAATGTGAATGGCAAGCATGGTGGAGGCACTGCTCTGATGCTGCTGACTGACGTAACCAATACCACCTTCACCTCTGAGCTGTGTTTGATCCGTTGTGGCTTCGATGGTAATCATTACCAGTACACATCCATCAGCAAAGCTGGAGAGCACTCCTTGTACAAGTATTTCCGAACGCACACCGACGCTGATGGCTTCATGTCCCCATGTCTACGATTCGGCTTCTCGAGGGCTACGATTGTGTCCAACATTGCTCTGATGGGTCACTGTGGGGTGATGGCAGTCTACACAGGACCCAAGACGAAAGGTTTCAGCAACACTGCCACCTTGAAAACCGATATATCGGTTAACCCTGGCAAGTACGGTTGTGCTTTGCTGGTCCTGTGCAGCGCTTCGGGGAAGAAAGGCTCACACCCCTGCAACGCATACTTTTTAGCCTTCAGCCACAACTCTGGCGAGCTTGTTGCACACGCTATCACAGATAAGAACTGTGATAATTTGTGGAGCTTCGGCTGTGAGCAAGGGATGCTGGAGATTACTGGCCCGTCCCAGAGTCATTATGGGATCTGGCTCTCTGATGGCGACACTAACACGGGAACATCAGGGAAGGTCATTCACACTCAGACGTTCAGTGGTTCTGAGAAGACGGTTCTGGTAGAGAGTCTCCCAGGATTTCAGGACTACAGTCTGTTGGTCTTGTGCTCATGTAGTCGAGGGGTGGACGATAAGACCTCATCCGCCCTTTACTTAGTAACAGTCCAGAAATGGGGAGTAAGGTGTTCTTTCATTGCTGGAAGCTCTAGCTCGTCGGAAGGAGGTAACGATTGGTTTATCTCGGAGGATAACAACCAGCTGGTTGTCGTTGGGCCTGGTGCTCCGTGCCGCTACAGCTTCATCTCTAACCTTCCTGAGGATGTCGCCAACCCGCAGCAGCGGTGTTTCCAGACCTCCTGCTTAGCCACAGGCCTGGACAGCAACTACCGGGGAGCTGTGTACGTCAACGGTGCAAGCATCACCGGATGGGTGTCCAAAATGTCACAGGTGAAGATCATGCTGAACGGCAGGATGATCGAGCTGGTGGAGGCCGGGCAGCTGTTGGAACAGCCTGATGGCCGACTGGGGTTCCAGAGGGAGTTGAGCGATGATGAGAACAGCACTGGTTTGAAACTCCTTCAGGTGTATGGCCTGACTAGTGATATCAGTAAGTAACCCATTGCTGCATTTTGCTGATGCGTATTTTCTGCAAATTTTTCAATTGTTTTGCCCTTTTTGACAGACATATATAAATTCAACCTTCTGTCAAAAGATCATTTGAGTGACAACTGGTTCATATCTTTTGTAAATCTTGAGCATATGTGACCTGCCATAGCATAATGAGGAATAACCCCCACCTTTGACTTTTCACGTTTTATATACATCATGTTAAAGCGCAAATCATTGGCTTTCCAATGATACCAAATTTATATCTCTAGCTTAATTTATTCCAAAGATATGCCGCAGCAACTTCAAGTGTACTTGGGAAAAAGTTTAGCAATTCCTGTTGGTCGAGAGTGTGTCAAGCATGTGGTCTTAAACTGCCATTTAAATGCTGGTCAGTAATGTTTTAGACTGGTGTTTAAACTGTGCTCCACGCCCACATGCACGTGCGGCTGCTTGGGAACCACTGATGTGAACTGCAATATAAGGTGCTATCTTGAACACACGGCGTGCCTTTCACACAAAACATAGAAGTTGCATGATCTCAACATGGTCTAAAATAGTCAAACAAAATCCTTGAAATTTTGTCAACTTTACTTTTTATGGCTTTGATTGAAAAGGTATTTATGAATGGTATGGGCTTGGTCAATGATAATAACCTTCACACAATCGGCTTGGACCATTATCGGCAACCAGGCCCCTACGTGTTTGTTTATAACTCCTTCATCACCCTATTATCCCCGCATTTATACACAAATGCCTATAATGAATTGATCGTTAGCCTGTGAACCACTATCACTGTGGATTCAATATTCTTGAACACAGATAATCAGCCTGCGAGTATTGAGTTGGAGGGCTCCCCCTATCGTATCGTGAACCAGCCCAAAGGCGTCCTGTATGCTGTCAATCTTGGAGGGCCCATGTACGAAGCGCTGAACAAAGTGGTCTTCTCTGGAACGGAGATAACATTCAAGGTGGACAACAGGGCAGATGGTGAGTCAAACAATAATTACCAAAAAAAATAAATGATAAAACCACATTTAAAATAATCATTAACCCTGTCTGAGTCTTAGTCAAGAGCAGGACCAGCACTACCTCAATCCAAGTCAAGACCAAGATGTGCCTCTAAAATAATTATAGCCTTCAAACAAGGTGATGATTAAAGGTAGAGTACATCATATGTAATTAGTGCATTATGTTGGTTTGAAGCAACAAATGTGCTCAAAATCTAAAGAAGGGTGCTTAACAACTAACTTGATGACGTTTTTAAAATGAATGCTATACAGTTGAATCTCGTTAGTACAAACTCTGTTAATACAAAATTCTGGTTATAACAAACATAAAGCTTTAGTCCCGACTGTGCATTTATGTGCACAATGAATGGGACTGATGTTCCTCTTAATACAAAATTCTGATATAACAAACAATTTGGCTAGGTCCGAACGAGTTTGTATTAACGAGACTCGACTGTATATTCTGAGAAAACAATATTCTAGGATCGTGATTTCAAATCAAAAGTTACTGAGTCATGTTTTGAATTGCACCCAAATTCAGCGCCGGGGAGACGTTCTCATTCAGCCGTTTGCACTACACGATATCGCGCACTGAACCGATGAATTATAGCAACTGTGTGCGTCATGTCAACGCTTGAGTATACTCATTCACAGCTTTGCTGAATCAAAAACAAACTATCAACGGAAATCTCCAAATATGCATTTTTAGACGTATCGTTAGAAATGGCACTTCATTGTTTTATTCAAAATGTCAGCTTGACAGAAAGAACAATTTCAAAGGGAATTTAGTCCCATTATTATCTTTAAACCAAGTATGCATTTCAACAATAATTTTGTCCGTTACTTTTTTGATAACTGCAAATGATGGACTGTACCTTTAACAGTTTAAGCAAACTTGAATGAGACAAATGCAACAAAACAGCCCAAAAAGATTATGAATGCTGCTCAATTACAGACGATACCAATATTAAACCAGGAATGGATGTTCTTTTAAATTAGTTTTGTGTATAAATGGAATGCCTGTTCAGTGTATTAAAGCTATAGTCCATCATTTGTAATTAGTGCATTTTGTTCGTTTGAAGCAACAAAAGTGTTCAAAATCTAGTGAAGGATACTGAACAACTTACTTGATGAAGTTTCAGCTCAGCTTCAGCTGTATATTCCGAGAAAAACAGCATTCTAGGATCTCAATTTCAAATCAAAAGTTGCTAAATCATGTTTCGAATTGTTTTGAATTGCAGCTTTACGCAATGTCGCGCACTGATCCGACGAATTATAGCAACCACGCGCGCCTGTGCGTCGTTCCAATGCTTGTGCGCGCTGTGCCGAATAACAAATCGAACTACTAATTTAAATTTTCCTACGGTGCTTCTTAAGAAGCACCGTTGGAAATGCCTTCTTTCGTTGATTTCTTCAAAATGAGAGCTTGCCAGAAAGGATAATTTCACAGGGAGTTTAGTCCCCTTACTATCTTTCAACCAGTATGTTTTTCAACAATAATTATGCCAGTTACTTTTTTGGATAGCTGCAAATGATGGACTCGGGCTTTAAATTGGAAATTGATAACACCAAAATCCCACATAACAAGACCAACACCAGTCTGGAGTACTCCAACAAGCTTAATACTGGAATTCTTTGGCTACCACTTCCCAAAGATACTTGTTAATGCATTCATACCTGTATTTACTTTTGTTTTCTATATACTGTAACAGGAGTGAAATGTCAGCGGAAGTTTTTTAGCTCCATAAATGCCGACAGAAACTTATACAACATGATAACCAACACAAACGACGGATTCCTCTTCAGCACCCACAATTCAACCCACCCTGAATTTGCCAATGACATGTCGTATGACGTAAGTACTCCGATCATTAAACCTGGAAATTGCTTTTCGCCTCAATATATGTGATGCGATCAAGCTAAATAAGTCGTTTGTCGGGAATTTTTATTTGGAGATACAGGCCAAAATAGGGCCACTTCATCACATCACTTCATCACATCTCTTGGTGTTCCGACTTCCATAATTTTTGAACTGAAGATGGTACCAGCATGCAGTTTTCACATCAGTAATGCTGAGATTGTGCTCTGTTCAAATTTGTAATAAAAATTGTTTTGACCAGGGTCGACAAACGACTCATGTAGCTTCATCGCATCACATACATGTATGTGGGGTGCTGTGGTCCAACGATTACGGTGTTCGACTCGTGTGCCGTGGTACATGGGTTCAAATCCTGACAGGGAACATGGTGTTTGTGCACCTTGGCAAGGCACTTTACTACGATTGCCTCTCTCCACCCAGGAGTATAAATGGGTACCTGTGAAGGTATAGAGACCATATTGCGCTGATCTAGAGCTGTTGCAGGGTCTCATTCCCGATGAACCGGGATAATAATTGTGATGCGCATTTGATCATATTCTTATGGAATTTTATTTAAATGATTAGTATGACAAGCCTCTTTACTGATGACATCACACTTTGTTTACACGTGTGCTTTCTTATGGGAGCCCGTTGGGGACGAAGGTTTCGTAGCCCCATAGAAAAGTGCACATGCAAAGATAGTGTGACGTCATCAGTATAGATCGATCGAGGCTTATTCTACCTTTCCTCTGGTCTGATTGGCGCAGAAAGCAGTGCCTATAGACTATTATCATGTTGCGGCCATCTTGACTTTTTTCCCATTCGAATCAACGTAACCAAAGCGAGGCTGGAAGGAAAAATAGTCTGGCTCCTTTTTGCACCGATACAAGGAACATGACTGAAATGGTGACAGCATGATAGAGGTCTATTGGTGGTCATGCAAGTGTTGTACATGTAACTTAAGTTGACCCTGCATCATAGGTCATAAAGACATTGACACGCTGGTTGTTCTCTGACTTTGCATCTGGGTTGGATATTCTGCAAGGGTTCAATGTTTGGACAGAACTCACTTTAAACAAATGAAGTATAGGCTGGTTCGTACTTTCGCGAATGAGAAAGTGAATGAAAATTTCACAAGGACAACTATATCACAGCTGTACTGTCAAAAGTGTTTGTCTGTGTTATCAAATGCGCAAGCAAATCTGATTGACTATACAAAGCAGCTTTTGTTTATGTGGATGGGTGTGTGCGTTAGGTGATGGGATTGTGCCTTTGATGATACAAGCATGACATTTGGTACACAAGTCAGAGTATGTCATGAGAAAGATAATTGGCTATAGGGCCATCACAGATTTGTCCTATGAAAAAGTATAAGTAGAATACCAAGCAATGGCAGCCATATTGAAAATTTTGAAAGTTGCTTGTTATTCTACCAATACTTTTTCAAAGGACAAATCTGCGATGGCCTATAGCCACATATCTTTCTTAAGACATACTCTAGACTGTGTGCGAAATGCCATGCTTGTATTATCAAAGGCACAATTCCCCTAAATATTTCCTCTGCCCCACTAAATATTGTCAGAGCAGTTAGTAGTAAGTAGGCAAGGCAACCAACAGTGTTGTAGGACTCGAGTCCAGCACTCGGACTCGAGTCAGACTCCGTCACATTTTTTTGTGACTGGGACTCTACTCGAGTCTCATTGGAAAATGACTCGGACTCGGACTCGACCGTGATGACTCGGACTCGAGCTTGGGGACTCATGACTCGAGTCACGTATGTTAATCAAAAGAAAAACAACGTTGCTTATGTGCGACAAACATAGCATTCTTTATTACTCCATTGACAAAACACGCGGCGCCGCGGAAAACATATCCAGGGGCCGTGCACGCACGCCTAGCGCCTGCACGACAAACACCAGGGCTTGGTGTCATGCCAAAAAATGTGCAGCAAAACACACATAAGGTAAACTAAATACACTAGGATTTACTTTAAAAGACAGAATGGATGATTGAAAAATGATTTTAAAAAAATGGATTAAGTTGGTGAACAACTAGGAACAAGTGATTTTTGACTCGGACTTGGACTCAAGGCTTGTGACTCGAGACTCGGACTCGAGGCTTGTGACTCGGGACTTGGACTCGGACTCGACGTAGGTGACTCGACTACAATACTGGCAACCAACAATGCCTTTCATATCACTCACCACTACCCTAATTTTTGAGAAGTAAAAAACTGAAATACATAGGCGGATTGTAATTTGTCCACAATATGCAAACTCATTTTTGGACAATTCAAAATATTTGAGGTTTAAAGTACTTTTTTTCAAAGGAGTATCCTTTTTACAACACTTGCAAATCAGTACAAAAAGGGTATTTAAAAATGTACATGTAAAAAATGAATTTGTAATTAATGTATTTCAATACAAAATTGAATACAATGTTTCAAAGCCAGACCTTGGGAGACTGTTCAACCTTTTTCCCCATCTTTTTTCCATCTTCTTCAGATACCTGCCAACAAAGGAAAATTGACCATGAAACTGTATAGCATCAGCGGTCGTCTGAATGGGCATATCATCAACATCAATAATGAATCTCATTCTTCAGAGGTTCGTTAGCTTTATGCGGTTAATTTTCAATCAACAAAATGGTTTTGTTTCAGTTGTTCAGTCATTTGAATCCATCAACAAATCAATTAACTTGTTACTTGCTCTTTTTTTATTGACTTCGGTTTGTCAAAAAAGTAGTTATTTCTATATTGATTGAACTTTAATTTATTGAATGATTAAATTTATATTTAATCACCCCTAAGCCTAAGTAGTAGTTATTCAAATCATCAGCTTTGAAATTGTCAACTCAGTTATCATTGATTACTACAAATTGATCTTGTGGATTATTCGTATTCAACTGAAATTATCTGTGTGATCACTGAATGTTATTTCCAACGTTTGCAGCATTGCTTATGTGACTTTGGGCGTGGTACCTTCCAACATAGCATATTATACAAATATTTACTACTTCAAGTGGTGTGGTAAAACTAGCCTCCCTCATTAATCTATGGAGCATTCTGTTTTCCCGAGACATAGCTGAGGGAAGTATGAATGCTCCATGGATCACCGTGTTCAAGCAGTCAGTAGTTGTTTCTTAACACCTCCCTCACAGATTCTGCTTGATTTTAAGAGATAACTGATACATTTAGCAAAACTCCAATTAAAATGTACTTCTACATTCATCATCATGAAATTAGTTGAACATTTGCTTACACTTTTCCAAACTAAGCTACTGCTTAGCTCTGTAGTGCTAGCCTTTGGGAACAAGACGCGCAACGCACACAACTGTTTGCATCTGCACTCGTGCATACCGGTTGCTACGTTTTTTTTTCTCCAGCCGTTGCATAGTCTTTTTGGCTGTGCACAGCAAGATAGTAAAAATATAACGAATGCCATGTGACTTGCTCTTGACCAATCAACATACAGAAGCTGTGGATGAGGTATTAAGGCCTCTAAGTAGTGCCCTATATTAAATAACAAAGACACTGATATTTCATTATTCATACAGCCAACATAGGACTGGGCAGCTCAGTTGGTACATCAGAGTTTGGAGGTTCAAATCTCACTCCATGCAGTCAGTTTCTTTGTTCAACTTTCAATATTGGGTTTTGCCGTTCACCGACGTTTTTGTATAAACACTGTATACTCAGAGCTTGCCATATATTGAATTAACATCACCCCGATGCAAATTCCATCTTATGAATAGTTTGGTTGCGGTACCCGCTGCTATATCAGGTTTGAACCAGCCCGCCGACCCTGACAAGCTCGGTGGTTGAACGATAAGACGTCTGCGCTAGTAAGCAGGAGGTCGTGGGTTCGAGTCCTATCTGAACAATTCTTCTCACAATCACTCGGGACAACTCTGAGTATACAGTGTTTATAAAGATACATTAGTGAAGGGCAAAACCCAATATTGATTTTACATCACCCTGACGCAAATTCCATCTTTTGTATTTAATTTTTGATAATTTTGTTGACAGGTAACAAAGCAGTTGAATGAGATTCCTGAGGTAGTACCCAACTGCACAGCCAAGATTGTGTCTATTCCCTTCACCAGCAAAGGAAATAATGTCCATCTCTACTTTGAGAATAGTGAGTGTCCATGGATACACAAGCATGAAAATACATTTTTATAACATTCATTTTAAATGTTTCAGAGCCAACATCGTACCAGTAGAGAGAAAGCTGTTTTCATGGTTTTTGCTTTGGGCAAAGCCGCATGATGCCATATTCAGGAGTAACTTGGAAGCACTCACAAAGTGGGCATTCGCCTGCGAAGTGGGCATTCGCCCGTGTAGCAGGCGTTCGCCAAACATCTGCGAAGCAGGCGAGGCAGCATAGCCCTTACCCAACAAAGCAGGCGAGGCGAAGCCTTGTTTTATGTAATTACTGATGCTGATAATGTGTGTTGCTGTGGTTGTTTTTAGTTGGGGTTGCTGCACATGCTGAGTGTTCCCCACGTAGTAAATATTTAGCAGGCTGTCGTATCAGGCAAGCACAAAAATACCATTTAAAATGGCGAAACAAATTTGAAAATAAGATGAAATGGGATACAAAGTGCATTTCAAGGATTGCATTGAAAACAAATACATTGCATTGGCCCTTTAAGAGGTTGCTGGTTTGCAACTACTTATTGCTTGATCCTCATCTATGTTACTATTGCTGCTGCTGCTGCTGCTGCTGCTGCTACTGCTTCTTCCATATGAGAGCTGTTTAATGATAAAATACAGGGTGAGTACAAAAAAAACTAAACCCAAATGTCGGGACTATTGTTTTATTGAAGTTCTGCGTGTAGCACTTTCAAAATATAGGATATGAAAGCCCAATTCATCAGCTTTCTTTAAGTACAAAAATCATTCAAATCACTCATGTACTTATCAAGTTACGGAATTTAAAACACAACCACCGTTTAAGGTTCTGTCAACGGATCACAAAAAAAGGTATGTGTTCTTTTAGCAAAACGATAACAATTCACACACATCCCTATGTGATTTCTTGTCGGTTTGTTGAAAGAACACTGATCTTTTTTGTGATCCCTGGACAGAACCTTGGTTGTGTTTAAAATTCTGTAACTTGAAAAGTACATGAGTGATTTGAATGATTCTTGTACTAAAAGAAAGCTTAAGAATTGGGCTTTCGTATCCTACATTTTGAAAATGCTACATGCAGAACTTCCCTAAAACAATGGTCCCAACATTTGGGTTTCGTTTTTTTTTTACTCACCCTGTAGGTAAAAGTAGTTGAAATTACGGTTCTTGACTGCTTATGGCTATTAACATATTGGCTGCTTCTATAACTGATAGAAAAGGCTTCGGTTATATGCAGTTTGCTTGCACCAGCTAATATTTTGTTGCTTCCACTACTGTAGCAGCCAGCGCTGTGATTGATTAAGACTGATTATGGAAATCCCAAATGAACATTGCAGATATGAGCAAAGGCGGATGTCATCCAGCAGCCATCATGGTTCATGACAACACCTACAAGGAGGCGGTGCCTAGTAGGGAGGAGGAGGCAGAGGAGATGAACATAAAGCAGAAGGTTAGATGAGCAATTGCACAATCAGTGGCCCAGTATTCTAAAGCTGCCTGGAAAAGAAAATGGTCGTGCACAGAAAATGCTTGCTAAGTCAAAATAGTCAACCAGCCAAAGATGTCGGGGGATTTATTTTGCATATGGCTGGTTTCTAGCTGAGTTGGCTTAGCCGCTAAGCACTGTTTTCATCTAAGCAGTTCTACCTATTTTATGGTGCGGTTAGCCACAGAAATCTGGGCTGACGATCAATACTCCGTGGTCATGCACCTCTTACATGACAGAATTTCTGTGCTGACCATTTTTGGCACAGAATCCGAAGTTACAGGATGTGCTGAGTGCCAGCAAGCCAGTAATGGGATAATCCGTAAATCCCGGCTCACATAGTACAGCTTAACAACAGGTGTGCCTCGCAAATGCCACACTGTATTTTCCAGTCGCGCACGTCATACGCATGTGGATGCATTTCAGACTTTTGTGTGCACATGTTGGACACTAATCACATTTGCGATTGGTCAAACAGCTTACAGCGGGCCTTTATGGGTTGGTCTGTTAGTTTAACATGTATGGTAAGTAACCACTAAGAGGCAAAGTAGGGTATCAAATGAGCATTTTGCCGCTGGTATTTTAAGGCAGCAGTGCAGCTCGAAATTGGGGTTAAAGGGTCCATCAAGTGAATTTGTCTTAGGAACTTATTTTGTGCAACTTCCTACTCCTCAAAACTCTTGCTGGAGCGAGCACCTTTAATGTTTAATATCCAGTGGCTGTATGGAATGTTTCCATGACAACATGTAATTTGAGCCACCCGACCCTCACAACCAGCCCGGCCATTCACCCCTGATTAACCTCTGGCATGTCTGGAGTATCTCTCAGGCCCCAAACAGCCGTTAAAACCACAGACATAACCCCATTTGACATTCCATTTTGGTCACAGGGGTGATCGAAATAATCCCAATGTTTATAGTGCATTTGTACACAAGCCTATGTAAATGTGCACAAGCACACAGGGTTTTCCCGCCAATTTTCAACCCCTCCAGTAGGATCACAAGACTGACACCCCCTCTGGTGGATGTACCTAATTGGTCCATACTAGGATCTAGTGATAGATGGCCCCGGGTGGGTATACCACGTGGCCAGGACAATATAAAACATAACAATGTGAATAGTTGGTATACCCAGGTGAATCCTGGTAATAAATGTATGAAAAGTGTTTGACATCCTTTTTTGGATAGTTTTATTGAAAAGTGCACTTTTTTCAAACATATATTAAACATTTTCCATGCTTTTCCGGACAACCAGGGGCGCTGCTGCTGTGATGTCATTTCAGGAAGACACTGTTCAGTTTAGGGGTTTCCTGTTCAATTATGAACCTGAAGTTCGCTTCATCAAAAGCATTTGTGAAAAACAGTTTGCTCAGTGGCTCACTGCCATGTACTGACACAACAACAACTCACCAAAGAAAAGAAAATGTCCAGTGAAATACCCCAAATTATGGCATCTTTTGATGCTGATATACCTGTCATGCCTGTAATATTGAGGTTTCTGCCTGAAATGACATCACAGTTTTGCTCATCGGAATATGGAAATTTGCATTAGCATAAAAACCAAAAAAGCACCAAAATGCCCTTGAGAATGGCAAAGCAAAAATTGAAAATAGGGTTAAACGGGACACAAACATGTATTTTCAAGTATTGCATTAAAAAAAATTACATTGATTACCTTGTATCTGGCAAGTACTAGTGTAGGTTATTACATGCGTACATGGACTGTGGAAACATTACATGGAAAATATGTACATGTACATGATGGAATCACATCAATTTGTATCTTACCAGTATTGTTATTTTGCAGCTATTTTGTTTCAGCGTCGGTTTCAAAAAGTTCAATGATAAAGGATTCAATTAAGGATCTTGTACTTTCATGCAGTATAATGGTCCATGGTGTGTACCTACACGACATTGTTACACCGGTAGGAATATTTTGTCTTGCATGATAAAGTTGCATGTTGGGCAGTTTACGTCATAACAAATCACAGAGCTTAAAGTTTGTTTGATCCATAATCACTAGGCTGTTAGTTCATTCCTTAACCCTAACCCCCTAGTAGTTCCTCAGGACTATATCCTGCTAAATCCAACAGAGTCCAACCGGAGATTCCTGCTCAATCCACTGTGCCTCATTTTCAGTTGTCTGCTGAATCCAACAGAGTCCAACTTGTCGTGTTATCATGTATATTATAATTGCCTGCTAAATATATCATTTTGCATCAGGACTGTCCACAAGGGATTTTACTGCTCAATCCAACAGGCTCCATCGGGTATAAATCGTTGGATCCTGTTGGATTCAGCAGGGTTAGAGTTAAATTAAATCCCTTCAAGCTTTAAGTTAAGAACCTGGACAGTATTTCTGCACTAAAATTCATCGCTACCCTTGCATGGCTTCTATTTCAGTTTTGGGAAGATTTGAGCAATAGGCTATATTTTATTTAGGGAATGAGGCTGCTGTAAGATACCATAATTTTGGGGCACAAATGCTAAAACAATTTTGTTTATTGAAGCATGTTAAGACGTCTGCACTAGAAAGCAGGAGGTCGTGGGTTCGAGTCTCACCCGAGTGATTTTTTCCCAACTTTCACTCGGGAGGTAACACACTGAGTATACAGTGTTGATACGTCGGTGAAGGGCAAAACCTAATATTGATTTACATCACACCCACGCAAATTTATATTATTGATAGTTTTTGAAGCAGTTTGCTTAAATCTTAAAATTTAAAGATTACATTTTTTTTTGGAGCTGTATATGTTCAAATTTACTAACATTTAATTCACTTCTGTTTATGCTTCAAAATGGGGTCAGTTCTGCCTCCTGATTCCCTCAAGAATAAGGCCCGGGGCCAATTTCACGGCTATGCTCAGCACAAAAATTTGCTTAGCACAAAAATAGTCTGGCTTATAAAAGCAGGTTACCAGCCAACACTCCACGTGATGTATAGTTCTCGTGATTAGTATCAAGCTGTGGTTTGCTTAGCATGAAAATCACATGGAGTTTTGGCTGATAACCTGCTTTTATAAGCCAGACTTTTTTGTGCTAAGCAATTTTTTTTGCTTAGCAGTGCCGTGAAATTGGGCCCTGTTAATGTGAAGCGCCTTGCCCGAGGATGTTAACGCCATAAACCCATGCCAGAGTTGACGTTAATATCATGAAACAGTGATCTGTTACACAGTACCCTGTGGAGACATGGGTATGATAGGGAACAAAAGATTGAATACGTCTCCACAGAGCAATTTCTATAGGTACGTCTCCACAAGGTTATCACGAAATAGATATGGATTTTACCCTAAAACTAGGAATTTCCAAGTATGTAAGGGATATTAAGTCCAAGTTTCAGCCCAGGAAATTTAGTCTGCTTAAAATAGGAGCATTGAAATTACATTTATTACACAAGAACAAAGAAATGACTCTGCAAGGATACAAATTTCAGTATGCATGGTACATGTGTCTAGATTTGTACCATCATGAACACAATTGCGAGTCCAATTTAGAAGATCATGGCAATGTAATGAGCGCGCAAGGAGAGATTTTGTCATTGCTTGGTTTAATCCCATTGGCTTACAATGTGCATGCAAACCATTTTTAGTTTTTACAAGCTGACATCAACTGTATTTATATAGGAGCATATCATATGCCTCATTTTGAACCCATTACATCTGTTCCATCTGCCGATCACAAGCCAATCGTGCATTGATTTATCTGCTCTGTGCTCTGATCATAATGTCGTTGCTGAAAGTCTTATGTTGCTTTATGCTTTTGATGGCATGCATTTCACTAATCAGCATTACTGATTTTGGCTACAATTAAACAAGATTCATGCAAGAAGTTGCAACATGTACATCACATGAAAGCCACGCCTCACCCTAAACAAAAGCATGAAAATCACTATGCAGGATGAGTCAAAAAAAGCGAAATTCAAATGTTGGGACTATTGTTTTAGTGAAGATCTGCATGTAGCACTTTCAAAATCAAGGATATGAAAGCCCAATTCATAAGCTTTCTTTTAGAACAAGAATCATTCAAAAAGCACTCAAATACTTTTCAAGTTACGGAATTTTAAACACAACCACCATTTTAAAGTTCTGTCCACGGATCACCAAAAAGGTGTGCGTTCTTTCAGCAAAACGAAAACAATTCACATACATCCCTATGTGATTTGTTTGTGTTTTGCTGAAAGAACACTTACCTTTTTGTGATCCGCAGACAGAGCTTTAAAACAGTGGTTGTGTTTAAAATTCCGTAACTTGAAACTTACATGAGTGATTTGAATGATTCTTGTACTAACAGAAAGCTTATGAATTGGGCTTTCATATCCTAGATTTTGAAAGTGCTTCATGCAGAACTTCACTAAAACAATGGTCCCAACATTTGGGTTTCGTTTTTTTTACTCACCCTGTAGTGAAAGATAGAGGTGACACGAATTTAACCATTTAACCCGTGCTGTTTTTGAGTATCATCCCTAAAAAAGATTCCTTTTCTATATTGCTATTTTTATGCCCCGCGGCGAAGCCGAAGGGGCATACTGTTTCCGCCTTGTCCTTCCGTGGGTGGGTGGGTGGGTGGGTGGGTGTGTGGGTGTGTGTGTGGGTGGGTGGGTGTGTGGGTGTGTGTGTCCGGATAAATCGTGTCAGCGCGATAACTTGAGAAATACTTAACATATGAACTTCAAATTTGGTTTGTGGATTGTTCTTGGTAATCCTAAGAAGCCTATTGCATTTGGGGCCGAAAGGTCAAGGGTCAAGTTCACAGTGGCTAAAACAATAGAAATCTTGTCAGCGCGATAACTTGAGAAATACTTAACATATGAACTTCAAATTTGGTTTGTGGATTGTTCTTGGTAATCCTAAGAAGCCTATTGCATTTGGGGCCAAAAGGTCAAGGGTCAAGTTCACAGTGGCTAAAACAATAGAAATCTTGTCAGCGCGATAACTTGAGAAATACTTAACATATGAACTTCAAATTTGGTTTGTGGATTGTTCTTGGTAATCCTAAGAAGCCTATTGCATTTGGGGCCAAAAGGTCAAGGGTCAAGTTCACAGTGGCTAAAACAAAAGAAATTTTGTCAGCCGATAACTTGAGAAATACTTTACATATGAACTTCAAATTTGGTTTGTGTATTGTTCTTGGTAATCCTAAGAAGCCTATTGCATTTGGGGCCGAAAGGTCAAGGGTCAAGGTCACAGTGGCTGAAACAATAGAAATTTTGTCAGCGTGATAACTTGAGATATACTTTACATATGAACTACAAATTTGGTTTGTGGATTGTCCTTGGCAGTCCTAAGAAGCCTATTGCATTTGGGGCCGAAAGGTCAAGGGTCAAGGTCACAGTGGCTAAAACAATAGAAATCTTGTATTTATTCTGAGATCATAGGGATTAGGGATTAATTCATATAAAACCTACAGAAGACACTAATGCTGTCAATTAATGAACGTTCCATGTGACCAAGGTACATGTAAGTTGATGTTAAAAGAGTGGTGTTATGTCATGGGAACAGTCACGGTTGCGGGGCATTTGTGTTTGTAAACACACCTGACTTGTTTGGCAATAGGCCTACAAAAGTTATTCTCTTTTGATTGAGACATTGACCGAAAAAACTCGACCCAAGTTTAGTTATTGAATTGTAACATGACAATTTCGAATTATTGGCTGCCAGACGAAGATTCCATTCACATGAGGTAGACTGGTTCCTGCCCCACAACCAGTATCGCTAATGTACAGACTGGGAGCCAGACTGCTCACGAACGAAACTCTTTTCTTTGAGAGGGATTGATGCAGACGTTCAAAAAAAGGAAAAAAGGAGTTTTGTTTGGTTGGATTACAAGTTGAAAATGTGCTAATAGAAAGAAATGAATTCGTTGAAGAGCACATAGGTCTAAAGGGAATGCAACTTTAAGATGATAGATGATTTGTACCCAGAAAGTGGTACAGTGTACTCATTTACTCAAAAATATTTTGAGCTGAATGGCCATCACCAAGACAGTCAACCTTGTCAAATCATTGCCTTTATGTGTTGTCTGACATTCTAATGCAGTTGGCAGATACCTTGGTGCCGCTGGATCGTACTTTCAACCTGAAGCCCATGAAGATTGCTGGTTGGTCCTCCAACTTACTGATCAATCCGTCGGGGGAGGTGAGTCTTGATACCATCCGTGCAGTACTGTTTTACCAAGGATTAGATGTGTTATAGGTTCTTATTTTACATATTAATAATTGGTTAGAGCCAATACAAATTCCTCTTTTTGCATTTTTCTTTGCATTTTTTACAGACTGGCGACCTGAGTAACTGGAATTACGCAGGCAACTGGAAGCTCTCTGAGGGTGGGGACCAGACTGAGACAAGTATGTATCAAAACTAGATTATACATCTCTTTTTAGTTGTCAGATTCGCAGTTAATTTTTGAGGTCTTTTGAAGATTGTACTGTTTAACACTGAACAGAAATTCTGTTTAATTCTGGCAGCTAAAGGCTGTGTAGAACTGTTCTATTTACATGCAGTATCTTTCGTGTACCCCTATAAACAGACTTTAAGCAATTTCGCTTCTGTAAGCTGACAAAACGTTGCTTTCCAATTATGCTACCCATAAGTCGGTCCCAGGTTAGTAGTGCAATAAGAAACATCAGGTTATTGTTAATGTGCGTAACATTTTTTCAAGATTCAACGATTTTTACTTCAGAACAAACGTGACAGTTGAATCTCAAGGGTTATGGGGGACGTGGTAACCGAATCTGCATTTCACAATTTTCATGCAATCAAAAAGACAATGGAAAGTTTTGTTCTCACAAAATGTCAAGCGCTCGCCTGTCACCAAAGTGACCACGGTTCGAATCCTGGCCGCGAATCACATGTGAGTAGAGTTGTGCGTTTTTCTCCGGGTCCTCCGGTTTTCCTCCCTCCGGAAAAATCAAACTCTTTCGATCTCAGGCTGTGCTCCGTGGTCATATATGGGTCGATGTGGCCGGCAGCCATAGGTGCCTTTACGTGCCAGGGGCCCGACCACGTTGTAGCCGCGTCCTTCGCATTTCAGCATACCAGCTGAAGGGTAAGGATGATTAGCCTCCCAAATTATTATTTTCATTATTAAGTTGGGAACACAGAATATCAAAAAACACTTAGCTGACCAAACTTTTCGAATTGCTGTGCTTACCTCCGATCTAGGCAATTCTTTGATTTTGTCGGTACCTACTATGGTTTTGCATGCATACGGCAAATTGTTTATGCCGAAAAAAAAATCATCAAATCTTGATGTGCACATAAAAGTACATGCGCAGTTGCAATACACCTTATTCACGAGGAAGCCATTTTGGATCGTGTTCCCTGAATGTATTTTATAAATTGTAAACTGTTGAATGAGATGGTGCCAGACTATTCGTGTGTTCCAAGCCTCACTTTAATTTTTTTTTTAAATGTGGCTTTTAAAACATTAACCCTCCTATGCAAACATCCAAGTAGTCCTTTCAGTCAAAATCAAACAAGTGACTGTTTTTAACAGTCAAGAAAACTGGCCGTGACTGTTTATGTAACTCAATACAGTTTTGCTTTGGCTGTGGGTAATTGATAAGCCAGCTGTGCCCACAACTTGCCTGCTTTGTCTGTTCGTGGTCTGTTGACTGAGTTTGACTAGTCACAGTGCTTGCTTGACTTATGATGTGACTGCTGGTGACTAGCCTGTGTTAAAAGTATAGCAGGGGAAGTGGATGGACATTTTGACTGTCTGTGACTGTTTAAATAGCAGGAGGGTTAAGTTATGTTTAATCACAAATTGTAAATTATTCGTCAGCGCAGACTGGTATTAATTTGTACTTATAACTTTATTTCATTTCTTTCATTTTTGTCTCAAGTTCCAAAAATGAAGCTTTTACCTTGCTTTCAATTTAATATGGCATACCCTGTGAATAATGCGAAACTGGCTTATTCTTGTCAGACATAAACAGAAATGTTCCAAGTATCGACTATGATATCTTTTCAGTGTTTATATCGTCATTCACATGGTGCACCAAGTACCAGGAGGTGGAACTCATACAGCACTTTTCAGAGAAGCATCTGGACTCTAGCCCTGAAATCCAGGTCAGTAGGTCACACGAGCCACTTGTAATGGTCAGAAAGATCAGAACTAGTTAGCACAGGGAGGGATAAAACATTTTCACATACTGAGGTTAACTAACCTGTTAATCAGCCAAAACTAACTGATAACTCCAGCTTAACTTGTTTGATTAGCCAGTGGTTAACAGATAACTGAAGCTCTACCTGTAGTTTATTAGCCAGCCAGCCAGCCAGCAGCATTACTCAGAACTGAACTAATAGACAGGGTTCCGGCAACCTGGAAAACACACTGAAAATTCATGGAATTTTATCTTCAATTTTCAGGCCCGGAAAAGTCATGGAAATTTGTGAAAACAGTAAAAGTCATGAAAAAGTTGCGAAATTTTGTGAGGACCAATTTATTTTAAATTTTAAAATTTGTATATTCATAATTTAGCATCGGAAATCTGATTTTTATGTCCGACAAAATGCAACAAGTTGTGATACAAGCTTTACGATTTCGAAAGACATTATTGCTTTGTTACGTTAATTTTCTGTTTCTGTTGCACACTTTTCACGGAACAAGTTTTGCACTTCTGATCTGCATTTTGATGAACTAGGTCGTGTATTTCCATAATTTGGTCATGGAAAAGTCACGTAAAGTCATGGGTATTTTATTATTTAGACAAACTGAATGGAAGGTTGTGCTGTGTCTTTTGTGATGAAGTATTTAAAATGAAATGCTAGGTTCATTGATTTATGTTTGCAAGCAGACTTCAGCAGAGGGTGAATTAATCAACACAAAATTGCTTGGACAAACAGAACAGTTACTGTACAAAAAGGACGACTGATCGTCTGACACGTATGCTTCCAAAAAAATGTTCTCTGTTTCCAGCTTGCGGTGGCTTTTTCAACGCTAAATTCCACTTTAAAGTGAAGGCCAACTGTGCTTCGTCATCCTGCACCACACTGAGCAGCAGTTATGCCCGCAGGACGCAAGAAATCCGCAAAATCTCCCAACCGAGAACCACCAACGTTGTCGCCTCAGGCCAGCCCCGAGTCACCCAGTCACACCAACGAACCACACCGGGACTTTGAGTGTTTTGTCCGAGAGTCTCTCACTGAGATCCAGTCATCTCTCTCGGCAATGGAACAACGCATTGACCGCCTTGAGTCCAATATCAACGCCTCCATAGAATTTGAGAGCAAGCGGATCAGGGAACTGGAACAAAAAAAAACGGGAGCTGGAGAAGCTAACAGAGAAAATGGCTCTTGTTGAAGCAAACATGGCGAAACACTCTGAAAAGCTAAACAAGCTTGAGAGATTTAGTAGAAGGAACAACATCAGATGCATCCGCGTTCCATTTGACCTGTCGAAAGCGTTCAACACAATTGACCATAGTATTCTGTTGACAAAACTGGATTACTATGGTGTAAGAGGTGTCGCACTTCAATGGTTTGCCTCTTATCTTTCCAACCGTCAGCAATTTACGACGGTCAAAAATGTCGATTCCTGCAGGAAAAACGTTTTACATGGTGTTCCTCAGGGCTCCATTCTTGGTCCACTTCTTTTTCTTCTCTATGTCAACGATTTACACTTCTCTTCTCTGTTACAATTTACTTTATTTGCTGACGACACGACTATCACCTACTCTCATTCTAGTCTTGCTACTTTAGTCGACACCTTAAATACGGAGCTTAAAAGTGTCTCATCGTGGCTCAAGGCTAATAAACTTTCTTTGAACCACCGTAAGACCAATTTTATGCTTTTTACCAGGTCGACTAAATCTTCCGATGATCTTAATGCCATCAAAATCGACAAAATCCCCATTCCTAGGGTTCACTCAACCAAATTTTTAGGTGTCATTACAAACTTTCATGGACTGAACACATCACCACCATCACCAAAACCATCTCACGCAACACCGGTGTACTAGCTAAACTTCGCGCTTTCATTCCTCAAACTACTCTTTTCTCACTTTACAATACTCTTATTTTACCTTATCTCACATATTGCAATAAAGCCTGGGCGCACAAAAACAATTCTAAACTTCACACACTTACTATCATTCAAAAAAGGGCAATTAGGATATGTATTTTCTCACATCCTCATGATCACACTGCACCACTTTTTGCTAGACTAAATACCTTAACTCTTTCTGACATCAACAATCTACACACAGCGATTTTTATGTTCAAGTTCACTCATAACCTGCTTCCCCACACCTTTTCTTCTTATTTCACCACCGTACGAGACACACACACGCACTACACCAGATCACGCAATAATCTATTCTTACCCTTTACACGCTCGACCTTTTCCATGAACACTCTTAGATTTCATGGCCCTCGACTATGGAACACTATTGATACGAAGGTTAAGGCTCAGTCGTCCGTGGGTAGATTCAAATTTGCTTATACATGTAAGAGGTTCCTCATCTCCCATTACGTGACTTAGCTTTGGTTTCTTTTCCTTTTGTTCTTTTTTTCGTTTATGCTCTTTGTTTACTTTATACTTTATTATCTTCATTCATTTATCTAATATCGTCAATTTTTTTCAATCAATGTTGTTATTTATTATTTTTTTATCAATTTATTTATTTACTTACTTATTTACTTCATTGTTTATCTATTTTCTGATTTATGTATTTATTGATAGGTTGATTGATTAATTGATTGATTTATTATTAGTTGGTCTCTCCTTTATTCGCTTTTGCTATGTTATATTTTTTTGCCCTCTTGATTGCTTTGTAATTTCGCCCTCTGTTTTTACCTCTCCGTACTTTGACTTTATTATGATTCAATTTATCGCAAGTTTTAAGCCTTTGTCCGTTCGTTGTTTTTCGTTTGTATACAGAGTTGGAAATAAATGTTAAATGAAAAATGAATGAATGAAACAGTCTATATTGATCCGTTGCATGCAAGGTGTCATATTCGCTCGAATCGTGCGCTGACAGTACAAAAGCTGCCTCAGCACATCAGGTTTTGTTTGGACAAATATGATAACCAGTGTTGTAGTCAAGTCGCCAACGTCGAGTCCGAGTCCCGAGTCACAAGCCTTGAGTCCGAGTCCGATTCTCGAGTCACAAGCCTCGAGTCCAAGTCTGACCAAGTCCGAACGAGTGGCTCGTGACTCGAGTCTGAGTCCAAGTCACGAGTCACTTGTTCACCAAACTAATCACATTTTAAATTTTGTTTTTCAATCATCCATTCTGTCTTTTAAGTTAACCCCAGTGTATATAGTTTACCTTGTGTGTGTACATGTTGTTGAGACCCAAAATGTGTTTTCCTTTTAATTCCCATCCCTTAAAAACCCTCCTCCATCTCTCCCCTCCATGTTTTATCATCCAAACATTATTCCTCAATGATCCTTTCCCATCCCCGTTATGTTTTTTTCTTTTGATAAAAATGCGTGACTCGAGCCACGGGTCATGAGTCATCATGGTCGAGTCTGAGTCTGAGTTATCTTCCAATGTGACTCAAGTCCGAGTCACAAAATATGTGACTCGAGTCCGACTCGAGTCCGAGTCATGGACTCGAGTCTTACAACACTGATGATAACCGGTTAAGAATGGAAAGTTTGCATGGTGAGGATAACAGCAAGGTAAGTTGCGGAGTCACCATGTGAAATTAAGCTCTTTTGTGAGTTTTTGATGGTTCTAGAAGGACCGGTTTGAACTCGACATTTGGGACAGCATACTCTGTCCATCGTCAGGCGACCGATAACTGGTTGGAAACTTGAAAATTATCTGATGTGCGACTGTGATTTGACCCTCGTCTCCTCTTAGGTGTCTGAGTCTTTCCACGAAGGCGCAAACAAGGGCGGTTTCTACTCGCTGACTGCTACGTTGATGGGTCAGGACGGCACAGTGATTGAAAGTCAGACTACCGGTCAGAAAGGCAGCATCAAGACCCTCGGTTGGATACCAGTCTGCTTCACGTTCAAGAACTACGGACCGGGGGTGCGCAGCGTTGGGATAGAGGCTGCAGGTCAGTGGGATCAGTTGTTTCATTCAGAATGAGCTCCCACCATCCAAAGGTTACACTTTGACGATTTAGTTTCTGACTTGTCTACATGATGTGGGCATTTTTTAACACCCTCAGAAAGGCACAGGAACTGTAGCTCTACCTCTTGTGCCACGCCCCCCTCGGGTGTAAGGACAATACTACTAAAGATGCAATCACTACTGGTGAAATATTGATGTAAACACAGGGTGAGTCAAAAAAAGCGAAATCCAAATGTCGGAACTATTGTTTTAGTGAAGTTCTGCAAGTAGCACTTTCAAAATCTAGGATATGAAAGCCCAATTCATAAACTTCCTATTAGTACAATAATCATTCAAATCACTCATGTAATTTTGAAGTTACGGAAATGAAAACAAATGACATGGGGATGTGTGTGAATTGTTTTTGTTTTGCTGAAAGAACGCACCCTTTTTTTTGTGATCCTTCGACAGAACTTTAAAATGGTGGTTGTGTTTAAAATTCTGTAACTTGAAAAGTACATAAGTGATTTGAATGATTCTTGTACTAAAAGAAAGCTTTTGAGTTGGGCTTTCATATCCTAGATTTTGAAAGTGCTAGATGTAGAACTTCACTAAAACAATAGTCCCGACATTTGGGTTTCACTTTTTTTTTACTCACCCTGTATGTGGTCATGTCTCAGTCCTGGCTGCATCAATTTTGTTTCTGCAGGCTAGTAAACTAATTGATCGTAAGACGTATTCCTGAAACATATCACAAGAATGAATAAATAGGTCGCGTGATTTGAAGTAACTTCCATGGCTTCACTGTGGTGTGCTACGCTAATCCGATGGTCCAAATGCTGCAGGGTACGTGTTCGAATCCCCGGAATTATACCTTTATTTTTTGCCGAAAAGTGAATCTGCTTTCCTAAATTGTGTTTATAATGAAGTCCTACTAATTGTAAAAAGTCCTTTTTTTCTCATTCACGATTCTGGAGGAGTTTTTTAAAGGGAAGTTAAGTTTGAGTACCATTCCCTAACAAACTGATGCATGCGAATTATGGTCATTGGCTATACTTGAGTGTAGAAAAAATGATAGCGTCCTTGCTACCTGCTGTTCGTTACGGTTCATATGGCTATTGGTATTTCAACTATAGTTGTGTGTTGTTTTGAGCAAAGTTTTTAGAACTACGATTAACCATATTTCTGAAGTAAACGATAATGTCCCTTCTTTGACACAAGTTTGAGTTTGTTTTTTATGTTTGTTGGGGTGTTTGTTTTTGTTTTGTCTGGTTTTTGTTTTTGTTTATGAGGTGGTTTATTGTGTCTTGATCTGTTTTTGTGTTTTTTGTTAGTGTATATAAGTGTTTTTTTAATTCCTTGTTTACTATCACCAAGATGTGGGGTAACAGGTCTACGGACTACAGTAATTGTTTTGCTTTTGTTGCCCCTAGCCCATCTTGGTGATAAGCTTTTTCACTGTCTTTGTTTTCTCTTGGGTATCTATGTATGTATTGTAGTCTATGTCTATGTATATTTGTATTCTTTTTCTTTGGCTGAATAAATAATAATGGGCCTTTATTTGCAAATTTAAAATTGTTAAAATTCACTGACCTGTATCATCTTAACTTAGGAAAATTTATGTATAAATATATGAATCGTGCATTACCTGCTTGTTTTAACCCCTGTTTTACACTTACTACAAACGTTCATTCATATAATACCCCCGGTGCCACTAGGAAAAATCTGTATGTTAGAACTTCATTGTTTAAAAATAGTGTTGTCCAACGTGGCACTCTATATTGGAATAGTCTTGATGACTCTTTTAAATCATCACCCACTCTCTCTATTTTTGCTCGAAAACTAAAAACTCATTTGTTAATTGCGTACTAAAAAATGTAATAGGGATAATAACGGCCTTGATTACTGTCTTACACCTGTGTCTGTGCTCTGTCTTTCCATGTATGTCTGTCACTTGTCTGTCTGTCCATAGGCTGGGGAACAAAAGCTGATGCTTCACCCTGGACCTAGATGTTGCCATTTAGTTAATGTTCACTATTGTAAATATATCTAGTATGTATTGTCAATTTGAATATATAACATTATGTATTATGTATCATCCTTATGCAGCATCCAAATAAATGTATTGAATTGCTCCAAAAAAAAAAAAAAAAAAAAATCAAGTAACCCCTTCCTAAATAGTGCATGTGGGCCGAATATATAGCGCCTATCTAATATCTCTTATCTTAATTCCTTATCCCCCGTCTTCCCTTCCACAGCCAAGGATGACAAATACTGGGCGGGACACTTTGGGGCCTACTGCTCGGCTGCCTGCATCCGAGTCAAGAGTGAAGTAGGAGCGGCATCGGGAGACAGTTACAGTGACATCCAGCCCACTAGTGGAGCTAGCTTCACCAAGGAGCTAGACAAGATGGTCCGTGGACTGTACGAGCGGCACGACGAAGAGCTGACGGACATGCAAAAGTTGATGGGTAGGTGGCTTGATTGTCAGTCATTCTGTCCCTAATTATGTAGTACCAGCACTTTCCAAGTAGTCTATGTACATTACACTTGAGCAGATTTTCAGATTAATTATGCAAGACAACCCCATCTTGACCTCTAGATTTTGACCAATCAGCGGGCGCTTTCTATATATCGGTTCTTCGGTCATTCACCCTTTGTCACGTCATAGACATGGATAAAAAAAACTGTGTCACGCGCTCTGTATCATGTTACGCCATATGCGCCCGGCGGCTGTTAAACACTGCATTCAAATTGACCAATCAAACCATTAGTCCTGATTTGGGAACGAAATGACGTCACGATTTTAGTAAAGTCGACCTCGATGGGCTGTATACATGTATATCTGCATGTTTAGACATATCAGACATTATACAGGAGACTTTGCTCCGTGGATAACGGGTGATACTCAGACTACTTTCCAAGAGCATGTGGAGTAAAAAAAATCACAAGCTACTCTATTGGAACTTTCATATTGCTTTCTATGGGAACAGACTTTACAAGCAATACCTGGGTGGGATTTGATCGGCTCTTTTGCTAATTAGTACATTCATCTTTACCACTTGACTGCTGATCGCTTGACTTTCTTCCATGACATCCTGCTTACTTGTGTAGACATCTTGGCATTCGACCACTTTGTTGGTGAGTGATCTCGTCGCTTCAAGGCTCCAAGACAGAAGGATGAAATAAGATGTGACAACAAAAACTGGCCGGCTTCTTGAAGCCAAAACCGCGAAATCAATTTCTCCTGTTCTGCTCTGGCTGTATGTGTAGGCAGTGTTGATGACGGATTCAGTTAGTGGTCCTCTGTGGGATCACTTCAGGGGGTGAAATAACGGTCGGCCATTGGGCAGTTAACTAACCGTTTACCATACTTGTCTTCACTGTAAGTGCACTCAAAGTGCATGTGGCCTCTCATTTTTCTTGTTGGAGAGGTTTGTGTATGTGATTTCACCCAAGGCAATTGTATAACTTCAGGCATGTTGGTGAAACTAATGCATCACTATGGGCTCAGTGCGCCAACAAAAGAGGGCGCCCTTTTACCTAGCAAAGACGTCCCATGGGCGGGACATTTAGCTGGTTGACACGCACCGTAACGCACGTAAACCAGGGGATTTGTATTATGTACACGCAGTGGTACTGGTACGGCCGGCCGCGCGTCACGGCAAAATTGCAGTCAGGCAAGATGGCGTCGGTCTGTCACCCCCAACTGTGCTTTCTTTGCCGGTGAGGGGGTACTTATGAACGGAGCGGATATGGAACTCCTTCCCAAGATGTGTGGTGTCCCCTAATTCTGATCACAGGCCAATTAGGCAAAATATCAACAGATTCCCTTTTTTTCTTGAACATGCTCACGTATTTTTTTTCCATAGTCACCACTATGACAGGGCCTTGGCCTTGTGATAATTGTCTTAATATCAGTATATATCAGATATATATATATTAATATGTATATATCAGAGTTGGAGATGTAGTCAAATCCATCACAAGTCCGTGCAAGGCCCTGCAAGTCCATCACAAGTCCTCCAGTCCAATTTAACCCATAAGCAAACTATTCAAACAAGCTTTGACAAAGGCATTCCTTTGTTATTGTTCACCCAAACACTGTTTCTTGTGACTGGACTTGTGCATGGACTTGTGATTTACTTGCGACTGGACTTCTGATGGACTCAGCTATATCCCTGGTATATATCTTCATTTTGTTTGACCTAACTACAGAGGAGAATGAGGACCTACGAGGCATTCAGATGAATGCAAGCGGCAGTCGGTCATCGGCCAAGGCCAGCTCCCGTCCCAAGCCAGCCAAGCAGACCAAACGCAAGAAGCGTGAGATTCGTATCTTCGTCTCTAGCACCTTCAGAGATTTCAAGGAGGAGAGGGAGGTAAGACTACACACATGTCAGGTACTCCTCAAGGAGTGAGTAAAAGAATATTTAGTTCTTAGATGCTACTTTCATTGGAATGTGCTGTCAAGGAGCTTTCAGCTGCATTGAAATATAGGTTGCAAATTTAAACCTTTCAGTTAAAGAGTTGTATCTTCAAAAATGTTCTAGCAAGTAATAATATTTGCTTAGGCTCAAGTTAAAGGTTTCTAGGATGATTTGCTTTTTGTGCATTTTTTCGTCCGAAGCAACAAAGTTGCTCCAAATTTTAAGTAGGTGCGTAATAACTAACCTTTTAAAAATTCAGTTCAGTGAATACAGAGAAAACAGAAAATGTGCACAATTTTGTTAGGTCTCGCAACCGGATTCCATTACCAGTGCATAAAAAGTGTACCTGTGGGCACACTTTTTAAAAACCACCTTCAGTGATTGTTTTCTACCAAACCTTACCAATCCAGGGGGAATTATTTCACAGGGTATTTTTTTGGTACCATCCATATCTTCACTTTAAGCAAGATTGTTCTCGTTCGCTTGCTAGGTCCGTTTCTGTTTACTTACCAATGCTCCTGCCTATAAGTGAGTGAGGTTCTTTAAGTGAGTGAGGTTCTTTATGTGAGTGAGGTTCTTTATGTGAGTGAGGTTGTTTATGTGAGTGAGGATCTTTAAGTGAGTGAGGTTCTTTATGTGAGTGAGGTTCTTTAAGTGAGTGAGGTTCTTTAAGTGAGTGAGGTTCTTTTAGTGAGTGAGGTTCTTTAAGTGAGTGAGGTTCTTTTAGTGAGTGAGGTTCTTTAAGTGAGTGAGTTTCTTTAAGTGAGTGAGTGAGGTTCTTTGAGTGAGGTTCTTTAAGTGAGTGAGGTTCAAGGTTAAGTTGCCAAAGCTGCGCTGAGTACTTTGAATCGGGGGTGAGATTTGTCAGGAGTTTTCCTGATTTCAACATTTGGTAAAGAATCCCGTTTGAAATCTGGAATTCCTGAGGTTTTACCGTAGAGGTGTCAATACCTGTAAAAACTTATAAAAAACAAAATATGAGTAATTTGGGGGATGCATTTAGGCAAATACACATATCGTAGACCCCATGTTACTCTGGTGTCCTAGGCAACCCTCTTCCATTTTTTTCTTGGATTTTTAATTTTTCCCCAATCTCACCACTGTTTGAATGAGTAGGAATATGCAAGAAATATGCAAATGCTTCCATGAAGATTTGGACTTTTGCAAGTTCAAGTTCTTCTGCAATTTTGGCATATTTTAAGCGTCTGCTATTGTCCAAATACTGGGATTCCCACCCATAATCAAAAGCCAAATGCATGCACCACCAGTACCGTAAAATTGTATTTTTACTTTACAACATAATATTTCAATATAATATTTTTTAAAAAGCGGAACCCAAACCCCCCAAATATATTTCATATTTTAAAAAAATATGTAGCACCAAAAATAATAGTGACTGGAAAGCCAATTGCATAAGCTACTTTTACTTTTAGATGAAAAAAATACCGAAAATTGCTCAATCTGTTCAAAGAATATCACCATTTAAACCAACGACCCTAAAACCTGCTTTGTCCAAAAAAAGCAACTTTATGACAGAGAATACTTGTTTCAACAACTGTCAACAGCTGTAGTACACAATATCTTTATTAACAACCCTGCTTAGGCAAACAAAATGATTTATCAAATCAACTTTTTTTAAGAGACGGGCCTTCAGAAGGACTTTGTTGAATATTGTTAACTTTTAAACTGAGGTTTTTATCGCTGGTGATGGTTGAAGACAATTCTGACGACGATTCTTGAAATCGCATTTTTAGACGAGACAGGTTTTAGGGTCATTGCGTTTACATGGTGATTTATACTTTGAATGGATTGAGCAATTTCAGTATTTCCTTCATATACAAGAACTTTATGAATTGGCTTTCCAGTCATTATTATTTTTGGCGCTACATATAATTTTAAATATGAAATATATTTTTGGGGGTTTGGGTTCCGCTTTTTTTGACTCACCTGGTATACAAAATTGTTGAGCAAATTTTGACTGCATCTGTGGTGATTGACTTTGCCTACATGTAGGTGCTGATCAAGAAGGCGTTCCGTGAGTTGAATCGGATCTGCCTGGACCGCGGCGTGTTCTTCACCTACGTTGATCTGCGTTGGGGCATTACTGAGAACCAGACGACGGACGGTGAAACTATCTCCATTTGTCTTAGAGAGGTACAAAGTCAATTCGTTTGGCAATTGTATATTTCGAGAAAAACAACATTCTAGGATCTCCATTTCAAATAAAAAGTTGCTGATCATTTTTTGAATTGGAACAAGTTCTCACTGAGCCGATTGCAGCTACGCTACGATGAATTATAGCAACTGCGCACGTGTGTGCGTCGTGTCAACGCTTGCGCGCACTTCGCCAAATAAAAAAACGAAGTACTATTACGGAAATTTCCAATGATGCGACACAAGGTCTGGCCCAAGACCTTGACAAAGTTTATCCTACGAAATCAATAACCCACTTTTTCCATGTAACCTCAATCCTCCAAATTCCTCCACTTTGGCAAAGAGGATTTTGAAGGATTCAGGGCAGTTAGGATTAAGTATATAATTAAACTGGTAGCAAGTCAAAATGTAGAAAGTTTTGCGGCACAAAAGTAAAGTTGAAATGAAAAACAACATTTGACAGTCATTGATATATATGGGACAGTAAGCATGTAGCAAAGTCAACAATACATTGAAAAGTAGCGATTGCCAAAGTCTGCACTGTCAAAGAGGTGATATTGCATTTCTTCTTTCACGATCAGATTGAGAAGTGTCGGCCGTATTTCATCTGCCTGATGGGCGACCGGTACGGCTGGAGCCAGACGCAGAAGAAACCGGACAAACTCCTGAACAAGAGCTTCAACTATGCCATCGAGAACTTCAAACCACTGGAGTGGATTGACAAGTACCGCTATGAGACAAGTGTTACCAAGGCACGTATTTCTGAATTTCTGAATTGTTTAATTGGGTAGCCCATTCAGTGGAATCCACTGGTCTCCCATGGGGCCCAGTAAAGAGAAGACAATGTGAAGAAATGACAGTTTTAGATGTGGGAGAAAACCCCAGAAGAACTTCAAACTTCAAAATATTCTGAGGAAAACCCACGGAATCAAGTAAGGACTGAAAACCCAATCCACATATTGGCCCAGGCAGGAATCGAACCCGAGTCACAGCAGTGGAAGGCGAGGAAAGTACCGCTACGCCAACCTAACTCCACCCTAGGGAATGGAACAGAATTGCAGTCACAGGTCAAGAATAGATCGATAAAAAAAAGTCAACTTGCAAGCCCGTCATACGTCGATCAAACGTCAACCAAAAGTCATTTTGTAAGCCCATCACAACTTAATCACTAGAAGAAATAAGGAAAAGATCACAAGTCTGTCACAAGTCAATACTAAGTTAAATCACAAGTCCATCACAAGTAACACGGGATGGAAAGTGAAAACGGATTGCATCTGTCATGGTTCATTTGAAGAGCCGGTAACTTGACTTGTGATTGACATGTGTGGACTTGCCTGAAACTCCATTAATCATTGAAATTATCTGTTTGTTGATAAGGTAGTATTTCAGGTGATGTGTGTCAGAAAGAAGATATAGTGCCACCAAAGGAGCAAATGTGTTCTTTCCTTATTCTGCTGAAAGTGATGCATGTAGATCTGATAATTACTTAAACATTTTTGAAGGTCTGTAAATTTCAATTAAAGTTTCCTATCAAGAAGCCTAGATCACCTTGTCTTCCATTCTTCCAGAAAATATCAACAAGCTGATTTGATGGCTTTGATGTTTTTTGAAAATTATATCAGTCTTGACTGCAGGATTGAAAGTTTACAAGGATACCCCTACCGGTATTCATTAGGCCCTGCACACTGAGCAACAACATGTGCACCTCTCAAGGGTCACTCTGTTCCAAATGCATGTGTCGCACAGAAGTACAAGCATGTCAGACTTTTGATTGTCAAAACACTATTAGGGTTACAGACTAGTAAATAAACTTCCATAGACCCCGATGATAAATGTTTCCACTTCAGAAATTCAGGAAAAATACTCACAACTCGCCAAGGCGTTCAAAACATGCATCAAATTAAAACTATTTCATCATCTTTCATATTCTGTTCAGTTTTGGGGGTAATCTGATAACATTTGGGAAAAAATTTCCATCCGAAGGTGATCACCCTTAAACTTAGTCCTGAAGCCCATCGCCATTTTGAAAAACGATGCCTACGCTCCATTGCAAAATAGAGCACTTTTGGGGCCCAATTTCATCAAAATTTCACAGAAATACGTGCTCAATCCTGAGCACAGCTTCCACCCTTCTTTTTTACAAACCCTCAAGTTCATGGCCCACAAAATGCTTGAATACCAAAGAATTTGAGGGCATGCAAATTGTGATTTTGCCGGCATAGGGAATTTCTAGCCAATATACTGGCCTGCACCCTTAAGCCAAAAAAAAAAGTCTCCGGTTTCTGGTATGGAGCTTGCCCAAAAAGTGGTGCAGCGACGCGGCTTTTGTGTTTTTTTTGGCCTGATTTTTTTTGCTTCAAATGTCGGCTGATGACTGCAAATGGTGCCTGACTAAACTTAGTGCAAATATATGGGAGTCCAGAGAGGCCACATAAAGCTTATTCTCGACCATAACCCAATCTAAAAACACGTTAAAATTGTGCAGCAGCAGGATTCCAGTCAAACCAGTGAGTTTGGCGGTTTTGAGACATCATCTTTCATTGAAAAAAAAACTTTTTCATTTTGCCGACGCCCATTGCTATGGCGACGCGTGCGCATACCAGAAACCGGAGACTTTTTTTTTGGCCTGAGGCAGGGCTTACTGGATCGATCCATTGTGATTGTGTCCTGTGTTTCGCCCGGTAACAGTTGGAGATCATGCACGGTGCTCTGAACGACGCAGAAGCTAATCAGGGACGTACGTTCTTTTACCTGCGCGAGCCACGCATCAAGAGAGAGGACCTCCTGCCTCCAGATGATGAGGAGGAGGAGGAGAAGGAGAAGGAGAAGGAAGGAAAGATTGAGGACGGAAAACAAGAAAACAATCAAGATGTAGATAAGAAAGATGAGGTAAATCTTCATCTTTATAGATATCCATGCTTTGCAACAAATGTGATTTTGTTCTCCTTACTTTTTGATATGTATGTTTTATTGTAAAGGTAGAATATACCATTTGCAGCTATCCAAAAAGTAACTGACCAAATTATTATAAAAAAGCTTACTTGGTTTAAAGATAGTAATGGCACTAAACTCCCTGTGATATTATTCCTACTGGGTTGCTGTTACTTTGAAGAAAAAAAATAAAAGAAGGTCATTTCCAAAGATGAGTCAATTATCACATATTTGGAAAAATTCGTTAGTGGGCGTATCTATGAGTGAATGCGCGCAAGCGTTGACAAGACGCATACGTGCGCGCGGTTGCCATTATTTGTTAGTTCCGTGTGTGACATCGCGTAACTGCAATTTGCTGAATGAGAATGTGTTCCGGATGCTGATTTTGAGCGCAATTTAAAATATGACTTGGCAACTTTTGAATTGAAATCGAGATCCTAGAATATTGTTTTCTCGGATTAAACAGCATTCACAGAGCTAAAACTTCATCAAGTAAGTTGTTAAGCACCCGTCTTTAGATCTTGAGCACTTTTGTTGTTTCAAACGAAACAAATTCACAAATGGCAAATGATCTTCTCAACCTGTAATGAAGAAGCTCCTTTTTTCCAACTTTGACATCTGCAACTCTCGGAAAGATGTTATTATCTTATGTTGTTCCCTCTCACCACAGAGCACAGAAGAAAACGACAAAGAGAAGGAGACCAAGAAGAAACAGGAGACACAGTGGCATTTTGATCTGCAGTCTCAGCTGAGAAAGTCGGTGGAAACATCAGGTATGCCGCTGCGTCGATTCGCTACGGCCGAGGATGGATGCGAACTCATCAAGAAGGTAAGCGTCTGCCTCACATGTTAAAGTTGTCTGCTCGAATCTTGCTTGCTTGACCTTCTCTCATCCAAGACATTTTGACATAATAGGTTTCAAGAGTTCACTCCTTCTCTGTGAGAAATAGAAAATGCAGAAATAATTGTAGTCTGGTTCCCCGACCTGACAATTTCCCCTGATGTCCACATGTCTAAATTGTAGGTCAGGCAGCCTCCATGGCTAAAAATAAACATGACGACATTGACGGCCCTTTTTCAAAGCTCGGCTTCATTTCCGAATTCGCCTTATCGCTTAAAGCTTTTCATGTTCCGATCAAATTTTCAAATAGATCACTTGCTTCATATATCATACAGTTATGAAAATATAGTTTGATATTTCTGTAAGAAAAAATGACTAATGTTGACCTGGAATCTTCAAAATATAAATGAATAGTTTATGTGGTACCTGCTGCTATATGTAGATCAGATTCGAACCAGCCAACCGATCCCGTTAGCTTGGTGGTCTAGTGGTAGACATATGCACTAGAAAGCTTTCCAACTTTCACTCAGGAGGTAACACACTGAGTATACAGTGTTTATACTTCGTTGAAGGGCAAAACCTTATTAGATTTAAGTTTGGTATCTAAAGGAATGTGATATGAGGTTTGGATATTGGATGGTGGTATTGAAAGGTTTAATAAATGACTGTTTGCCTGTTTTTAATGCTCTCTTCGTTTAGGACCTGGTGTGGTGTGTGAATGAAGACTTCCCTCCTGGCTCGGAGCTCACCGCTTTGCAGCGAGAGCACGAGGCCCACCTTGCCTTTGCCGATCCCCGCCGACGGATCTACATCGGCGGCAGGGAGTACATCAAACAAATCAACGCCTTCGTAGCCAAGGCTGGCAAGACTGACGGAGCTAACGTCCCCTTGGTGATCCTTGGAGAGTCTGGGTCAGGGAAATCGGCGCTGGTTGCAAACTGGACCCACCAGTTTGAGGAGGAGAATCCTGGTGTCTTCCTCTTCATGCATTTCATCGGGAGTTCCTCAGAGAGTGCTTCGCATCTTAACCTTCTGCGTCGGTAAGTTCCAAATACAACTAGGGACCTTTAGTTTCTTCCCATATGGAGCGGTCTCATTAATATCTGGGATAATTTGAAGAAAATTTTACTTACAATAAAATTCTACAATGTGTATCAGGTATTGGTTGCAGGATTCTGAACAACATCCCAGAATCTTGTGATGAATTTATATCTTTTGTTTACAAACTTGATAAATTCCTCCAACAGATACTTGATACAATTTATCTAATTGCGGATGACTTTTTCCATTTGCTGACAATCAAATAGGATATTTCATGAAGTTTATATATTTGCATTTTTGAATGTTTGCAAATGGTGTCCAGTACGCCAATCTCTGCTCTTTATCTTAGCTGAGCATCCTTTTGTTTAATTTCAATCTGATCCTAAGATTGTACGAGGAGATCAAGCAGTTCTTTGGCTTTGAGATGACTGTACCTTCCTCCCAACGCAATCTCGTCTTAGAGCTGTCTACCTGGCTTCAGATGGCAGCCAAACAGACTAAAGTGGTACTGGTCCTGGACGCCTTGAACCAACTGGACTCGGGATCAGGAGCAGGTCAGGCAAAACTCCAAGCCAGAATACAGACCATTTCCAATACAGTGCACCAGCAAGACTTTACGGAGAGTCAATTTTTCAAAACATGGCCGACCCTGATTTGAGCGAATGTCAGTAGACCACTTCAGGAAACTTTAGATAGATTCTGCCGCCTCACAGAAAATACCATCTTGATACTAAGAAAAGAAAAGAAAGAAAATGCACTTACCAAAATACTGACCGAACAAACTGACAATTCATCGCGTCAGTGCAACAAGGTCGTATCTCCTAAAATGGCATAAACGCAAAAAGTTTTAGAATGTCAAAAGGTCGTATCTCGCTTAAAATAACCCAGATGTACACACAAAGTCAATGGACGTCAAGATACAACTTTGTTGCAGAATCGAGTTACGACCTTGTTGCACTGACGCAACAAATTTTAATTGCTTTACCACGGTAATAAATTCTAAATTTTTATTGGTCCATCATCGATCACGTGTCATGCCACAAACACGCAATTGTACAGCGATGTTTGCCGCATGGGCGTGGTACATGAGTGATGTTCCCCACAGGGGTACATTACCTTTTTCTTTCCCGCTGTTGAAAATGTTGTTTCCACCGCGTTGTATATAGCTCGATTACGAGGTTGTAGCTACGCTGGTACTACGTAAATCGATGTATGTTTTTACGAGATGTGCCATGGGGGACAGTGAAGCAATATTTCCGCTACGACCGCCATTGTTGTTTACATCGTTCGTCACTGTTCGTCTGCTTTTTTTAACTCTGCCAATTTTGCCGTAATTTCCCGGTAATAGTGTCTGCAGATGACAGTTTGCCTCCAATTAAAGAAGAGGTTTCTCTCTTGTTCCACAGACGAGATCAGAAATATGATTTTTGAAAAGTACAGCATCAGCACGAAGAGAAATACGGAAAATTATGTGCGAAAAGTACGCCAATTCTGTTACCGTGGTATAACAAAACAGCTGTTGCCTGCTGTGACGGGGTCCATGGGTTTTGTACAACCTCGGGGGCAAATGGTTCGCCTTGGGTGCCATTTGCCCCCTCGGGTGTACAAAACACCATGGACCCTGCCACAGCAGGCAACAATTGTATATTGTCATACCTTGGTAATAGATCGTGATGTTTTATTGGTGGAGAACCGAGCATGTGATGTGCCACAAACGCACATGTATCATGCCAGGGTACACCCCGTGGTACATAAGTGATGTACCCCACAGGGGACATTACCTTGATTGTCCCCACTGTTCAACGTATTGTTTCTATCGCCTTGTATAATAGAAATAACCCGGGTAAGAGGCTTCAGACAGCGCGCACACACGTGCGCGCATAGAACATGGTCGCAGCTGTGATTGGCTCGTAACGGGGCAGGGAGTAATGGATTGGTCTATTCAGTTAAAAAAGTAAATTAATTTGTGTTTCTGTGCAGTGAAAAAAAAAAATGTGCGAATATTCACGGTGCAGTAATCACGGATCTTTTCAAAATAGTACTTCTGCTATTACTACACGGCAACTGGAGGAAATCCACAATTTCAGACGGTTGGAATCTATTACCATGGTATAACAAAACAATTGTTGCCTGCCGTGATTGGGGTCCATGGGTTTTGTACACCCTCAGGTGCAAATGGCACCCTCGGGTGTACAAAACTCCATGGACCCCCGCACAACAGGCAACAATTGTATAGTGCCCCGCGTTGGTGAATCTGTTGACCGTCTCCTACAATACACTGCGAAAAATGGACTCTCTATTGCAACCTCTTGGTGGCGCACTGTATTAGGAATCACCTGTATTGGAGCCCAATTTTATGACTCTTAATTCTGACCGTAAGCTAAAAATACCCACTACCTGTAACAGAATCCATATTTTGGCTTTGGCCCGCTCTGATATAATTTCATAAGCACTGCATACACAGTGTTGACCGAGGACTTGCAAAAAAAACTTGACCCCTTTTTTACGCTAGTGGGCGCACTTTTTTTGGATCAATTTATTCACATTTCATAAAGCCGTACGGATAATGGAAGTCAAAAATAGTCGTCTACATACCTCTTTGTATTAATAACTTAATTTTTTTTAAAAGTCACTTCTTGGCAAGCGAAAAATTTCAGATTTTTTGGTGGGGGCACCGGGGTAGGGTGGGGGGCACTGGGAATTTGTGGGGGCATATGCTCCTCAGGCCCCCCCCCCCCCCCCCGATACCCCACTGCGACCAATAACTATTGACTGAGTGCAATTTGTGCATTTTGTTCATTTGAAGCAACAAATGTGCTCTAAATCTAAAGAAGGGTGCTGAAAGACTAACCTGATGAAGTTTCAGCTCAGCTTCATCTGTATATTCCGAGAAAAACAGCATTCTAGGATCTCAATTTCAAATCAAAAGTTGCTGAATCATGTTTTGAATTGGGCCTGCATTCAGCATCCGAGACACGTTCTCACTGATCCGATTGCAGCTATGCAATCCAAGTAATTATAGCAACCGCGTGCGTGTGCATCGTGCCAACACTTGCACGCACTTCGCCGAATTAAAACAACGAACTACTAACGGAAAGTTCTTTAGCGCACCATTGGAAAGGCCTTCTTTCGTCGATTTCTTCAAAATGACAGCTTTCCAGAAAGAATAATTTCACAGGGAGTTTAGTCCCCTTAATATCTTTCAACCAAGTATGTTTTTCAACAATAATTTGGTCAGTTACTTTTTGGATAGCTGCAAATGATGGACTGTATCTTTAATTGAACTGCCATTCTTGAGTAACTGTGATTATGGATTTCATACTTTCCTGATGTAATAACCAGAACTTGATGCTTTAGGAAGTCACAAACACTGAAAATTCATTTCTCTATTTCCCAAGGTGAGGAGCAAGATCTGACGTGGATCCCCAAAGAATTGCCAAAGAATGTTGTCATGATTGCATCAACACTACCAGGAAGGGTGAGTGTCATTGAGTTCTGCCTTGAGGGTGGACAGTCGATATTCGCTCCCTGAGGTATTGAAAGTTGTCAAAGCCGAGGGAACTAGTTTGTCAACTTCCAACACCGAGGGGAGCTAATATTGACTGTCCACCTGAAATAAACCATGTTATATTTGTTTTACTATACCTCATTCATATTCAGCTGCCGATTTTTTTTCCATTGCAGTATGCAACTAAAACAAAATCTTCGGATAAACTTGTCCAGCTCACCAAAAGAATATTATTGCTCAAATTCACTAGTTCAGTTCGTTTGCAATACAGTAACTACAGTTGTAAATACAATAGTTTGTGGACAACTTTCTTTTGTACAGGAGGCATCTTTATTGTCCATAAATATTCTCCATTTCGGCATCATTGAGCTCGAGAAAATTAACATTTACGCGTACCATGCAACCATCAATTCGTGTGTAGCTAGCTAGCTCGCTTGGGCGATGTTCAGATCGCGCGAGGGTACTACACCCGTGCGACAGTTCCGTGATTGCTTTGTAAAGCACATGCATAGTAGACTGTCGCACGGGTAACCCGTGAGACAGTCTACTACGCATGCGTATTTACCCTGTGCGTGAATCCTCGCGCGCGCTTGGTAAACAGCAAAAATAACATCTGGCACGTGATGGTGAATTGACCAATGAGAGTTCGGTTCTCGATCATTAATATGTATGAGGTATAGTAATATGAATTAGAGGGTCTAAGTTTACCGAAAATTACCAAAAGTTACCTTTAAGCAATCTTGTGTTGTGGACAATCTTTTTTTCAAGTAAAGCTCTCTGTTGAGAGATGACCCGCTCATTATACTTTTCTAATTGCCAGCAAAGAATCCTCGCAATTCAGTTTCATTAGTGCACTGCAGTGCAGAGAACATTTCATCAAAGCGTAGAGTAAAAGAAGTTCAATTTCAAAGTTGGAATCAATCTCTTTTGAGAAAACCTTTATTCTTTTGGAGGTTGTATAATTGTCCAGAAATGGCCTTGATTGGCTAGGATCTTAAAACTAACTCCCTAAGCATTTGTACTAGGATGCAACCTCAATTCTGCTAAATCCTACGACTGCCTAGCATGTAAAAATTGCGTACAGCCTCAATCCTGCAAAATCCTCTGTTAATTTTTGAATGTGGTCCTTTGAGGAGTGACCAGTGCCTCAATTCTGCAAAATCCTACAGCATTTACTGTCAATATAATGAGGCAGAGCCAGTGACATCCTGGAGCAGTGCGGAGGATTTCAAGTATAATCTAGGCCTAAATTTATGCACGGCTGAGAATAAACAACACAAGGTCTAGCCCAAGACCTTGACACAGTGCATCCTCCAAATCAGCAACACATCTTTGCCCTTTAGCCTCAATCCTGCAGGTCCTCCATTTTTCAAAGAGGATTTGGAAAGATTAGGGTAAATTCATGGGGTTATTGGCTGCTATAGTTCTCTCTCAAAGACGGCCATCTTTGTAGGAAAACTGCAGTTCTGCGTATTTTACACAATCAAGCACGCTTTGCGCAGTGTTGAAAATGTTCCAAACACGCGCGTTTGTTGCCCGAAATGTGTTTCGAAATACGACGCAGCCGATGCACGTTATGCAAGTTGACGCTCAGACTGCTGATGCACATGGCTGGTCTGTAGGAAATGACGTGATTTGAGAGAGACCTATAAACACACAAACCACCGGAGGTGATCCTGCTTTTGGCAACAGGAAAAAGACCATTATCTTGCGACCATCTTGATTTTTCCCATTTAAATCAATGTAACCTAGGCGAGGGCTGGAAGAAGAAAAAGTCTGGTTCCTTTTTGCACAAAAAATTATCATTCAGTACTGTAATTGGATACAGGGAACATGATTGAAATGGTGGCAGCATGGTAAAGGTCTGTAGGGCCATTGTGGGGAACTAGTGGTCTCTTTGTTAGTCAATATCAATTTTATTTAAAGGGAATGTACAACATTTGCTTTTGCTGCAATTTTCAGAAACAAATGGATTTGGAGGATTAGTATGTTACGTTATAGCAAATATTGTTAAACCGACTTGCTTCACGTTTTGGGCTTGTAGATGCTAAATATCCAAGAAAACCAACCATTTTATTGCAGTCTGGTTTCCTGACCTTACTTAAGACTAAACATAGCAATTTATAGATGTCGGGGAATTGTAAGGTAGAGAATCAGTCTAGCAGGCTTGTACCTCTTCACAGGTGTGTAATCAATTGCAAAGAAAATGCGGAATAACTAAATGTGAAAAAATAGGAGCAGTTTTCTAAAAAGCCAGTTTCCTCCAACACTGGTCGGCTGACCAGCATTGGAAAAATACATGTTTTCCTGCAAATGTCAGCACACCAGGAGCCACAATTTTACAGGATGCTTTGGACTGTCATTCCTTAACAATCCAGTAAGATGATTCTTGATAAGTTGATCATTTCGTTTTGTGATGTTTGCAAATGTTGTATCTTCCCTTTAACTTTCAATTTAATAAGGCAATGGATGCAGTGACAGCTGCTGGATGGCCAACCTTTAAAGTCTATCCCCTCAACGTTGATGAGAAATCGGATATCATCACAGGGTACTTGACCCTGTATGGCAAGTCACTGAACGAGGAGCAAGGATCCCTGATCATCAACGCCAAGCAGACGGACAACCCTCTCTACCTGAAAGCCCTACTCGATGAGGTATTGTTACATTTTGTGACTCAAGATTTTGATCAAATTATTTCATTCTTACAAACTTTTCCTGTTGTTTATATTGTTTTTATAAAAGAAATTTGTTTAAATTTTCTAAAAACCGAATTTAAATGCAATTCTTCAGGATAACGGACTTCCTGAAAGATGTAAAAACACATTAGATAGAGAGGAACAAAACACAAAATTCCCTCATTTGAAATAATTTTCTTCTATTTTAATATTTAAAAAAACAAAACAATCATTTTCATTTTCTCAAAAAAGATTTTCTGATTTGCCTTTTTTTTTCATAACAGACTAAGCAGAATGATGAGAAAAATCTTACTTCTGAGGTTATTCTTATTGCTTGTATTCAGAAAGAACTTGCAATTTTGTGTCACGGATTCACATTAAACTAGTCTTCGTTTGCATTTATCCCAATAGTAACCTACCGAAATATTATCAAAAAGCTAACTTGGATTAAGGATTACACTGGTACTAAACACCCTGTGCAATTATTCCGTCTGGCTTGCTGTCATGCAGCAGAAATGAAGTAATGTAGGTGATTTCCAACAATCAGTTAGTTAACTGATTTTTGGAAATAGAGCATGCAATTGACAAAATCGTGTGTCGTGATCAGTATATTGATATTGAAAACAAACAAATTAAAGGTACAGTTCATCATTTGTAATTTGTGCATTTTGTTCGTTTGAAGCAACAAACTTGCTCAAAATCTAGAGAAGGGTGCTGAACAACTAACCTGATGAAGTTTCAGCTCAGCTTCAGCTGTATATTCAGAGAAAAAAATTGAAATCAAAAGATGCTGAATCATGTTTTGAATTGGGCCTGAATTCATCGTCCGAGACACGTTCTCACTGAGCCGATTGCAGCTGTGCGATGTCGCGCACTGATCCGACAAATTATAGCAACCGCACGCGCCTGTGCGTCGTATCAACCCTTGTGCATACTTTGCCGAATAAAAAAAAAAACTACTGGTACTAATGGAAATTTCAAAGGCCTCCTTTCATTGATTTCTTCAAAATGACAGCTTGCCAGAAAGAATAATTTCACAGGGAGTTTAGTCCCTTTACTATCTTTCAACCAAGTATGTTTTTCAACACTAATTACGTCAGTTACTTTTTGGATAGTTGCAAATGATGGACTGTAGCTTTAACATTCTTCTTTGGATTTTGAGGGGTGTTATTATTGAAAACAAACAAATTGGTAGGCACAAACAGCAAATGATCTTATATGCCTTTAACCGTGTCTGTTTTGTGATTGGCCTAGGTGCGCATGTACGGGAGTTTCTTCCAACTGACCACAGCTATCAAGGAGTACTTGGCAGCAGGCAGCCCCGGGGAGCTCTTCGTCAAAATCCTAGATCGATTTCAGGATGACTTCGAGCAAGGCATTGTGGAGAGGTTGGTCAGACATGGGCATTTTTAAATCAAAAATTCAATTTGAGTACAGCATCTTGATAATGGAATGTCCATTTCAAAACCTCATTTGCTGAGTGTCTTTTTCAGTTGCAAAATTGATCGTTCTCTGCCTATAGTAAATGGCTTCTTATACATATTTCAAGCAACACTTTTTGGATTGAAAATTGGTTCGAGTGTAACATTTTTGTTAAGGTTTGGAATAGAAAAAAAAAAAACCCAAATGATCATTTGACATTCTTGACACAGAATAACTGTGTACGTCACTATGAACAGCTTCATCCCTTAAAAATTCGTTAAAGAGCCATTTTCCCTTGAAATTACAGTTACCTAAATTTTCATGGATTTTCAACATATTAAGCTAGATTAGGAGTCCGTGAAAACACCCTTAGGAAAGTCCTTTGATTACCCATGGAGATAGACTCAGTTTACCGTTATGTGTAACCAGTGATAATCCTCAGTGGCCAGGGTCATTAAAAAACCGTTAAAATACCCTTACAGGATTAGTCTAGTATAAGCCCCATGTAAATATCCGTGAAACATCTCTTAAAGATTCTTTTCAAGGAGAAGTGGACTTTTAATGAAAATTTAAGGGATCAGATGTACACTCACAGAAATATGGTGTCACCTATTGTTCAGAATACCTGTCATAGAGCAGTTGTTTTGAACACTACTTCGCCCATTACTGGGGCGCCGCTATTCTGCGTGTACGGTAGTGCAGGGTTCTCAGCCACTCTGGTAATCAGGGGAACACCTTGAAAATTAATTTCCATTTTTCCAATGGAAATGGGGAAAACACCAACAATCTGGGAAAACTTTGGGAATTTGACCGTGACCCTCCAGGGAAGGTTTTCACCAGTTTGGCATGTGGGCATGTCTGTCGCATATGGTGAGCCTTCCTTTGGTCATTGCTTTAACATGACGTTGACTGTGTATTATCAGTATCTTAGTTGCTTTGCTGCGACCACCTCTTGACTTCCAAAGCAACCTTGTTAAAAAGAAAATGTTTCTCACAGAGTTAAAAAAAATTCTCAGGGAAACATCAAGGAAACTCAGGGAATGGTGTTTTCATAATGTTCTGGGACACAGGAACCCTGAGTTAGGTGCCCACAGTGGCCTATAATAAAGGTAGGTTCTTGATATTGGCAATCATTTCTATTTTAAAGTTGCAGGTTTTTTAATGTATCAGATCACATTCAGAATAATGCAATCGTGAAGCCTTTATTGGCATGTATACCTTTAGAGCACATTCTTTTCTCTCATTCTTTTGAGAATGCAGTTTGTTCTTGCGGCTTAAAGGGAATGTACAACATTTGCTTTTGCTGCAATTTTCAGAAATAAATGGATTTGGAGGATTAGATTGTTATAGCAAATATTGTTAAAATGACTTGTTTCATGATTTGGGCTTGTAGATGCTGGAAAAACCAAGAAAACCAATCATGTTCTTGTAGTCTGGTTCCCTGACCCCACTTGAAATGAAACAGAGCAATGTATAAATTTTGCGGAATTGTAAGGTCAGAAAATCAGTCTAGCAGGCTTGAACCCCTTTACAGGTGTGTAATCAATTGCAAAGAAAACGCGGAATAACTAATTATGAAAAATTAAGAGCACTTTTTGAAAAAAGCCAGTTTTTTCCAACGCTGGTCGGCCGACCAGCGTTGGAAAAATCCCATTTTTCTTGAAAATGACAGCAAACCAGGAGCCACGATTTTACAGAATGTTTTAGACTGTCATTCCCTAACAATCCAGTAAGGTACGTCACGATAATTCGATCATTTCGTTTTGTGATGTTTGCAAATGTTGTATCTTCCCTTTAACCACACAATAAAATAAAATTAACGGAAAGAAAATCTCAGTCAAAACAGAAATACAAATGGTTGATAAGTTATTGGTAAGTGATAGCCCAGTCTCACACCCGAGTCCCAGTTCAGTATCTCAGTCTTGATCAATATTTGGCATCTAATGAGCGATCGCTTTCTCCTATGATTTTCTAGACCTGGGCTTGTTCGGGATGCAACTACCGCCCTCTGGTGTTCCCACCGTGGTCTAAGTGAGCAAGAATTGCTGGAGATTCTGCAGGTTGGTAGCAAAATGTTTAACTGGGTCAAAGAATGGCATGAATTCACATGAACGTGAAGGCAAGCGTCAATCAAAATTTGAGGTCCTGAAATACTTGCAGCTCATTTTTAGCCAGGTGTTAGTTCAAGTGGCAGGGATGTGATTTTCTCCGTTTTTTTCCGGAAATCCGTTTTTTTCAGTGGGCCTCAAAAGTCCACCAACGTGAATCGTGTGAATCCGTTGAGAAAATAGGGGGGTAGAATGTGCTAATTATTTATTCATAATGAGTTTTGCTTGCCGAAATATCCGAAATTTACTTACAGACATAAACTTCGTTGTATGCATGCCGCACGCACATATTGAACACCCAATGTGAGAACGAAGTTGAAGACCATGCGTTGCAATTAATGCGATTATGTGATTTTTCGCTCAGGGCCGAGGTTGTGGTTATGTAGGTTTAGTTCCTGTGTCAGTACTTGAGATGCACGTGTTGCGCTGGTAAGGTATGCAGACGAGTGCAGACGAGTGCAGCATGGTACACTGGTACCCTTCGCGTGCTAACAGAATCAATGCTATGATGAAGGACCGGAACCAGTGACTACTGCAAGTACTCACAGGTTCGTTTTCGGTGCATAATCGGCCGAAGTTGGATCGTAAAAATAGTAAAAATACCAAACAACCATCGATGGAAAAAGAGGATTTCTGCAAATTAATTCACAGAACGTGATCTTTATTTTCTGTGTATGTATTTTCCATTGAAATGACGAGATTGCAAAACTCGAACCTGTGGAGAAACATCGTAGCGTGTTTCTGCAGTCCTGCAGAATTTTCGGCCACGTGGGATAGGCCGTACACAGTGCAGCAATGCACACTGATACTGCGCCGGGCCGGCCGTGTGTACGGCGCGATGTACTCGCTGCGTGTTTGTCCATCATCTGTTTCGACTGCAACAAAACCTTTGCATGTCTACACGTCATCCGACGTTAATTGGTTATCAAGATCTTCTTCAGAGGCAACAAAAACAAGAAAAGAAAAAGGAAATTTGCGTCAAACTCATATTGGCAGGGTGCAAAAAAAAAAAATAACAAAAATTGTGATGATGATATTGGAAAACAAGTATTGCGGGCGATGTACTCTGTCCCCCGGCCCCATTAGAGTATTTAAATGATTGAAATCTAGTACCCAACCTAATACTGTTGGTGTTTGCAGGTCCCCAGCAAAATCTGGTCTCCTTTCTACCTATCCCTGGAGGAGAATCTAGTCAACCGCAACGGCATCCTCAACTTCTTCCACGATCATCTGCGGCAGGCCGTGGAACGCAAGTACCTGTCCACCCCGGAGCTCAAACGGGAGGCATTCCTGGCCCTGGCCAACTGGTTCAACACTCAGGATATCGACGACCGATACGTGAGTCTAGAAAGAATTTTGTTTGTCATCGTACTTTCCAGATAAGTGACGCTAAGCATTTGTGTTTGGTTTTGACTGCAACACTGAGCAATGCAAGAAGAAGCACTTGGCTATTCATTTAAACTTCACCATAATGAACACAATGGGTCCACACAAGATTGTTGTTAAGGTGGTAGCTCCAGGGCCTGATTATCCAATAGGCACAGTAGGCACCATGCCTAGGGCCTACCACAAAATTTGGGGCCTACGAAAAATTTGAGGGCCTACGAAAATATCACAGCACCCACACACGCACCTACACAGGAAAAGTTTTAGCGTCTCTCTGAATTCCCGATTTCACCAACTGACGCTGATGTAACTGCATGTACATGCACATATATAATTTCAGTGAAGAGTTTGTCGTTCTGATGAAGCACATGCTGTCAGATTGTTAGAGCTACCAGTTTGGCCTGGCTTGCTCAGTATCAACATGGAATGCGAGGCTCCAGCCTATATGAAATAGGTGCTGGTGCGTGCCTAGGGAGGGAGTAGGGCCTACGGGACACTGGTGCCTAGGGCCTACAGAAGGCTTAATCCGGCCCTGGGTTGTTCGTTATGAGCTCTGTGCCTGACCATGAGAGGGTGCATTTTGCCTAGCAACGGTGCCTTCACGCACTCTCTTCCTTATTTAAAGCTACAGTCCATCATTTGCAGCCATCCGAAAAAGTAACTGGTGTATTATTGTTGAAAAACATACTTGGTTGAAAGATAGTAAGTAGACTAAACTCCCTGTGAAATTAATCTTTCTGGCAAGCTATCATTTTGAAGTAATCAACGAAAGAAGTCCTTTCCAACGGTGCGTCTTAAGACGCACCGTAGCAAAATTAAAATTAGTAGTTCGTTTTGTTATTCGGCGCAGCGCGCAAGCATTGGCACGACTCCCAGGCGCGCGCGGTTGCTATAATTCGTCGGATCAGTGCGCGACATCGCGTATAGCTGCAATTCAAAACAATTCAAAACATGATTCAGCAACTTTTGATTTGAAATTGAGATCCTAGAATGCTGTTTTTCTCGGAATATACAGCTGAAGCTGAACTGAAACTTCATCAGGTTAGTTGTTCAGTATCCTTCATTAGATTTTGAACACTTTTGTTGCTTCAAACGAACAAAATGTACAAATTACAATGATGGACTATATCTTTAATGTACATAATACCAGGGATGCGTGTGGACTGTTTCGGATCGCTTTCATGTGGCTCTAACTGCGAATAAGTATGGAGGCGGAAATGTTGAATATTATTAACATTGAGAGGATCATGTGGATGGTCTTGAACTGCCATTCATAAATACCTCAGACAGTTTAGCTATTCCTATTGGTCGAGAGCCCATCACGTGGCTGGTCTTAAACGGATGATAAAGACATGGCTAGCTGGTCTTAAACACTTTTCCAGTGTCACAATAAAATGTGAACTCCTAAAAATCCAGTGCCTCTTACCGTTTCATTGGTTGAACGTTCACAATCCTCACGTAGGCATGCGCAACACTACAAGCGAGTCATAATTTTATAGTTCTAAATTCAAAACGCAATGCCCCAGGTGCGTTCTGCGTGACATCGCGCAGAACATGTTACGCGTGCGTCAATCTCCATAAAAGGGTTGTTTACATCTTACTCGCCAGCTGAACACTCCATTATTTTGCTAGAGGGATGTTTCAAAAAGCATGAAGTGAACTTGTTGAAAAAAATCGTAATTTTTTGAACGAATTATTTGATATTTTTTTACGGATAAGGTATTTATGAATGGGAATAAATATGTGCTCGGTCGGTATTTATCACTCTGTTTAATACCACTTAGAGTCTGGGTGCTGATAATTACCCTCGCCTCCGGCTCGGGTAATTATCAGCACCCAGACTCTAAGTGGTATTAAACGAGTGATAAAAACCTCCGGAGCACACATTTATTCCCTTATTTAAAAAAGCTATTGATATGATCACTAATATGATGTACATACACAGTTTTAACCACATGTTTATAACTGCTCTAGTATCTATCACACTTTTATTCCCTAATGTGCATGAACTGTATGATTAGATATTAAAAACCAATTATTAGTTTGTTATCAAAAAACAGCTACATGGTTTTTTTTAGTTCTGCATGCATAAATCTGCATGCTTAACCATCATCATCAATGCTTGCTCACAAGGTGGAAGAGGTACCCTACCTCCTAGCCCAAGCCAAGGAGTTCAAACGTCTTCGGGCTACCATCCTTAACGTGGCTGTCTTTGAGCGTCTGATGAGCACGGAGGAAGGCACTTTCCAGCTCATCAAGTCCTGGCAACTGGTAAGCTTCAAAAATAATGCATGGACACAAAAACAACGGAAGATGTTTAAAGTGACTCGCAAAACAGGCAGCCACTGCATACACCTCTGTTTTTCCTCCAAAAAGTTTGGTTAATGTGGTCAGAAATTGTCTCAGATTCCCCCTGGTACACCACAGAGCATGTGGAATCCAAAAAAAATCTACGGCCCTTAATTTTTTTGACCCACTTTTTGGGGAACAAAATTTGTTTGGCCCCCTCCCAAAATGGGGTTCTGGATCCGCCCGTGCACAAAAAAAGAAAAGAAACTATAAGCTCTCAGCAGTTTAGTAGTAATGTTTTGTGTCTTCCCCATGTGAGAGTAAAGTGATTTATGGAGTTCTTGCAATGCACAGCAGCCTACCGGTAGCTACTGCTAGTTGCTTGATTTTTTGCCAACAGACCCACATCCATTTCACGGGGACTTAAATTTGCTTTCACGGGGACTTAAATTTGCTTAAAGGGAATATACAACATTTGCAAACATCGAAAAATAAAACTACCAAGTTTTTAAGAAATACCTTACTAGGATGTTGGTAAATGACAGTTTAAAGCATCCTGTAAAATTATGGCACCTGGTGTGGAGTCATTTTCAAGAAAATGGTATTTTTGTATACGTTTCCAGCGGTGGTGGGCCGACCACCGTTGGAAAAACCTAACTATTTGCAAGTACTGCTCCAAATTTACCATTTTTTATTCAGTTCAAATTTTGTTTGCTATTGGTTACATATTCATGAACGGGTGTAGGCCAGCTAGACTTGTTCCCTTACCTTACAATTTTCCGGCATCTGGAAATTGATCCATTTTATCTTTAGTGGAGTCAGGGAACCAGACTACTTGAACATTTTTGTTTGTCTTGGTTTTTCAAGCATTGTCGAACAAAAAACTTCGAACATGTCAGTGTAACAAAATTTAATATATTATACTAACCCCTCAAATAGTTCATTTCTGAAAATTACAGCAAAAGCCAATGATGTACATTCCCTTTAAGATAGTGATGCAGCAATAGAAAGTGCACAACCATTAGTCAATCTGAAAAAGTACTTGAGGTTGCCACAATTTTCTGCTAGATGGTTAAACATTTCTGGTAAAAGTTAAAAACCCTGCATGGCGCTCTCACATGTCGCTACCGTTGTTGGCAAACCTATGTGACAGCTGTGCTGTAATGGCATTCTACGAATTCATAATGTGGATAAGTGACTTTCCCTGTGCTTTGTACCATTTTCAAAAACTCACGGAACGCATCTCCCTGTTCATTGACAGTTTTCTCAAACCCCTTGTCCCACAGATTTCGTCATACATTCACGACACCCCAGACTTCCTACGCAAGCTTGAAGGAATCAAGGACCAGATTCCCAGCACGGCCATCATTGGGACTTTCGACGTCTCATCTCTGTACACCAACATCCCCCATGAGGAGGGTGTTCGTGCTTGCTCCTTGGCTCTGGCCAAGGCAGGACACACGACTCCTCCCATCAGTGATGTTGGCACCCTCATGAGACTTATACTAACGAAGAACAATTTTTCCTTCCTTGGTGAACACTATCTACAGGTACACGGCACTGCAATGGGCACTCGCATGGCCCCATCCATGGCTTGCCTCTTCATGGGTGACCTCGAAGAACGCATTCTTGCCTCGGCCCCATGTCGCCCTTGGATCTGGTGGAGATATATTGATGATGTTTTTTTCATCTGGACCAGCGATGAGGACAGTCTCTTGACCTTCACTAACCACATCAATTCCTTCCACAGAACCATCAAATTCACATCGGAGTTCTCGGCTCACCAAACCCACTTTCTGGATGTCACCGTCCGCAAGCAAGGCAACTCACTAACCACTGACCTGTATTCCAAACCCACAGACACCCACCAGTACCTCCACTCCTCCAGCTGTCACCCCAGGCACTGCAAAACTGGCATAGCGTTTAGCCAGGCACTCAGACTCAGAAGAATTTGTTCTAATGATTCCGATTTCTCCCGCCATACACAGATACTGAGGAACAACTTGGTGGCCAGGGGTCACAGCTCTCGCCAAGTTCATCGTGCCATTGCCAGAGCTAAAGCTATCCCCAGAAATCTAGCTCTCACGGGAAAGGCCCCTGATGCCATGGCCAAACCCATGATTCCCTTGGTTACCACGTTTCACCCCAATCTCCCTCCCCTTCGCAAAATCACTAATGACAATCATCATATCCTCCATACTTCAGATCGCCTTGCCCGCGCCATCCCCAACAGCCCCACATTGGCTTACAGGCGTCCTCGAAATCTAAGGGACTTGATTGTTCGAGCTGAAGTCCCATCTTAGATGCATCCCCTCCCACCCAGCATGGTACTTTCAAGTGCAGTTCCAGATGTGTTGTCTGCCAGATTCATATCCAGGAGTCTGACTCCTTTTCTGGCCACTCTTCTGTCACTACCCACAGAACCATTGGTAACATCACTTGTAACACCCCTAATGTCATATATCTTATTTCTTGCAGGGTCTGTGGAGTGCAGTATGTAGGTGAGACTAAGAATACGCTCAAGAAGCGTTTCTATGCCCACCGGTCAACGGTCAACACCAAGAAACTAGACACCCCTGTTGGTCATCACTTCAACCTGCCTAACCACTCCATTTCTGATATGATTTTGCAGGGCATTGAATCTCTTGGCCATCGCAAGGACTCAGTTCGCCTCAGCAGAGAGAAAGTGTGGATGAATCGTCTTCGAACTATTCAACCACATGGTCTCAACATCCAACTTGGAAATGATTAATATTTTTCTTCCTCCATTGTCTTCTGTTACAGATAATCCACCTGGTCTTCATTGTTTGTGTTTCCCCATCTTTCCCCATCTTTCATCCCTTTCCACCTCCATACTGTTCCCCCCCCCCCCCCCGCATAATCCCCCTTCACTCCCACACTCTTTTGTCCGTTCCCACTCCCTGTGACCTTTGATCCTTCCCCTTTATGGTCCCTCCCCTGTTCATACCAGACCCCTTGTGGTTTGCCATCTCCCTTTGTTTCTTTGTTCTCTCATCCACCCTGCCCTGCATCTTTCCACACCTTTCTTACCTAATCCTCCTTTTGTGTTTCTTCTTTCATCCCTGCATGTTTGTGTGCACCCCCATGTTAATGTATGTACCTCTGTCATTTCTGTTTTAGCCTCTGAAGAAGAACTTGCTAAGTTCGCAACGTCAGGCCACATTAATTTTTGATTTTCAAAAACTGTCATATCTATCTTTGGGAGATGCTGAAGGTCGCTAACTTTTAAGAAAAGAATGGTATTTTATTTTTTAATGAATTATAATACTGATAACAACAATGACTCATTCTCAGTTGTTCAATTTAGCATGCACTAGACTGAAGATTGTAATGAACTACTCCAAAATCTTCTTTGTGCATAAATGGAGGACTTAAAAATTGTTTTCGTATTTACCCAAAGACTGGAACAATTTTTACTGACCCCCCCCCCACATCAGAAACAAAGAAGACTCTGATTACATACATGTAGGCTCTTTTTTCTTCTCATCATTTTTTTTAGGCATGGCATGCCTTATATTCACTCATATTTATAGTCACCTAATTACATTTGTAGGCCCCTATTGTCTTTTGTGTAAAGCCTACGTTTCCATATCGACTTTAAGCTTATGCAGACTGCGCAGAGAGTGCGCATAACTGTCGGCGAAGTTGAACCTGTCGTCTATTGGGTCTTGTTTGTGTTGCTCTCTGCGTTGTTTACCTCGATGTGGAAACATGGCTTGACTGAATGTGTGAACTTGTTTTAATATCCTGGCCACAGGCACGTTTGGTTAGGTGCGCGTGGAGCAGAATATAAGAGGCCACAGAATTTTACCATATTGAACTTGTTCTTTAGACCATCCCAAACAACAGTGTCTATAAAAAGGTACCCCCAAAATAATGAGTTAGTATGTGAAGGTGGTGATTTTGAAAAATGAAAAAGTGGGTTCATTTAAACCATGGTCCATTAGCTTTCCATTGATACCTTAAATACCGGTATTTGCCATTAGAGACCAAAACCCCACTTTTTCCAAGCTTGTCAGTACAAATGCACACAAGCAATGAAAGTGAAATAAATCTTGGGGAAAGTTTCAGAAATTAAATTGGTATAAGTGATTGGATATTGTAGTTCCTTCTTTCTGTTTTTTTTTCTATAACTAAAAAATGTAAAAGTGATGTGGTGTGTTCATTGCTTTGGTTTTCTGGCAGGGAGGGTTGCAACTGTAATAAGATTGACCCTAATCGTTAGCCACTAGCAAAACCCTTTGATTCCCACATTTTTAATTAGGCCCAATTTTCACTTTTGCATGCCGTTAAACTAAAGGCATACATCAACAATCAGTGGATTGGATGTGCCAGCTGTGCTGGGAAAGACAATCTGTCAATAAAAGTGGATGCCACATAATGAGTTTCAATTTCACTTGATTTTACACGAAGTAGGGCTTGAGAACAGAAACAAGGAAACATGTTGTGTTATTCCAACAATTCTCATTCTGAAACTGATTCTTCAGGCAATTGTCCTTGAAAAGTTGGAACTTGGATTTGTTCCTCATCCTTTTTTTAAAGGCCTTGGTCAAAGTAAAGTTCATGCAATGCAATATGACTTGGAGAGAAATGTTAATGAAGACTAAACAGTCAGAGAGATCATCTGACACACATTTCATCAGGAAAGGGTTACAGTTGGTATTCTGTTTGACATGTTTGTAAAAAGAGAGCCACAAACTGTCAATTTTATCCACACTCTCATTCGTTTTTCTCGTTTGGTTCTGAAGTACTTTTAAAAATAAGCATCAGTGTCCATGAAATGTCTAGTCCCATACCGGTACACATACATAATAAGTCAGTTCAAAGTATGTGACATGCAAAAACAAATGAATGCCTTTGTAACATTTTACTTGAACAGTTTGTGACTTGAATTGGATGACGTGTGATTACTTATTGAGAGAGGACTTGTAGGCCTTTTTAATGCACTCAATTAATTAAGA